GCAGTGCTGCATCCGAGCTCCTGGCCTAGGGCTCATCCGCTTCTGTCTGCTTTCTTTGTTTTGTTTTTGTTTTCTTTTAACTTTGCTCTTTTCTTTTCCTCTCTTTTTTTTTCTTGTGTTTTTCTCTCTAAAAGGCTTTGCTGTGTCTTTGGCAGGACAAGAGCTAGGTCCAGTTTCCCGAGGACGTGCGACTGTGGTGACAAGAGTCATCTCCTCAGGGAGAGCGAGCCCAGTGCTGAGGAGAGCAAGCCCTTCAGGGAGCTCGGAATGGCAGCCAGTGTGGGCACAGTGGTGAGTGATGGCACCAGAACATGGCTACTTCGAGGCTGGTGGGCCCACAAGCACAGACCTCGATGCGGTGGTGGCAGCACCAGCTTTCAAGATGGTGTTGAGAGCAGAGCGACCTCTGCAAGTAAGTGTCAGAATTGGGATGTTTGGCTTCAGCTGCAGCATTAGGCCCAAATCGGTACTGCTGGTGGATGGATGGGATGGGCGGTGGCTTGGTAGGCCCAGTGTGGTACTCCTGGAATGCAGTAGTGGCAATGGTAGGCCCAGAGCAGGGCTCCTGGAATGGACTGTGGTGCGGGGGAATCATTGTGCCCGGAGCCCATTGTGGAGACTCCCCCCTTCCCGTCCAATGTGAAGCAGAACACAGGAGGGGAGGGAGAATTCTGTTTTTGGTTGTATTCTGGTTGGTCTCAGATTCCTCTGTAACTCAAGATGGCGCCCGAGTATGGCAACATATTACACTTTTCACTGCATTTATTTGTTAAACACAAGTGACAATAAATCATTCATTCAAAAAATGCAACCTTTAAAACCACAGATTCCATTACAACGTAATGTACGTTTGTTGAAAAACATTTTTGTATGTATGTCGATGACTTAGTACAGTCACTCTTTGTTATAAACAGTGAATGCAAAATGTGCTTTAATGAAGCACGTTGTGCATTTAGTATCTCACATGAAACTTAGCAAAAATATAAAATTCAAGTACTTTTGCAATCATAATTCTGAAATTGATATAAAGTGGTGTCCTAAATTATACTTTAGATTTAAAAACCTAAATTGATGCTTGGCCATGAGTTTTGACACAATAATATTATGGACTTATATTCATAAAACTGTGATCAAATTAAAAGAAAAATGACAGGAACTTTGCTTGAGGTTCCCAAATTTGGCATCAGTATAAAGGAAGATGCAGAAGTTGCTTAATTGATCAAGCGAGGGAAGCTCAGAGGAAGATTTTGCTGTGGCAAACCTTCAAGCAATACTTGGCAAATGTTTAAGAGCAACCATTTGTCGAATCCGTCATCGGAGAAAAGTGAACAGAATGGAAAGACCTAAAGAGGATCTGTGTGTACCATGTTCTATGACCTTATACTTGTGTAAACCTAGCCCTGTATTGATACTTCCATCAAATTCTTGCTCACAGCACTTATGCAGTTCTTCACCAATATCAACTATAAATTGTTTTGACCAAATTCAAAACACATCATTGTTTCGTCACCCCCTACTCCTGCCATCACCATGCTTCTGCTGAAACCTAAGTTGACATTGCTTCAAACTAATAACCTGCCAATGTTTTAAAGCAGGAAATAATCTACTTTGCATGATATTGTATTTACAATATTTGGGGAGTTTACAGTTTTATTAAATTCATTTTTACGTAGATATATAAAGCGTTGCATTCCTTGCTTGGGTAGGTAATTTTGTTATTCAGAAAATTCCAAAATCAATGAAGCAGTTCAATAAGGTTAGGTTTACATACCACTTAATGTGACCACATTACTTGCAAGACTCAATAACAAAGATCTCTTTCAGGGGATAGTGATGAATGAAATAGAATTCAACTAGCTTTCATCATTGAGCAAACATGTACAAAATATTATTGAATGGGCCATAGTGTTTTTAACCCCAAAACTTTCATCAATTTTCTTGCAAATATTGGTTTATTTTAAAAACTAAAAACAAAATGTAAAACTGTATCAAAAAAAATGGTTATTTGCTGTATCATCCAATCAATTAGGAAACTTGAAATTCCACTATTGGGAATTCAGTGACCTTATTATGCATTCTTAGGCCATTGGCCAATTTTCTTTTTAAAGCCACTGGCAAAAGCAAATACTTTGAACTGCTGACTGAGAAATTAACGACAATCCCAATGACAGATTTCATGTCATGATCAAATTTAATTTGCCGTAGTGTTGAAAGATAAATTTCAACTTTAATTCCAATCTATTTCTGCTAAATCATGGTAAATGACAGAAGAAGAGCTTAATTTTATTAAAGTTTCGTGGCTAATTTGTTCTGTAGTGAAGTAAACTAATACACATATTACTTCTAATACATTCTCCTTTGTTCTTCAAAACAAGACTAGAATTATGTATTATGTCCAAAGCATCAAAAAAGCCTGTAGAAATGTGAGAAACTGCAGTTTTCATTAACAGATTGGCTGTGATACAATATATTGCAAAAATCTGGCCTGTTGCACCCATTTCCCTTCCTGATGAGTAACCAAAGGTGATTAAGAGTGGCTTGAGTAATTGAAAAGATATGAGCTAGCTTGGAGTAAGTAACCCAATGGTTACACAGCCCTGTACACCTGCATTGATCTTGTATACAATTACACAAACTACTATGAGCAATTCTGCAACATCTTTAGATCTCTTTTCTTTACATGACGGAATCAGAGCTTCTTCACTCAATATTGCCTTTCTTTTCAGCAGGGCTAACATTTCAATGGAGCTGAGTAATTAAAACTGAATAATCTTCAAGAAATCATTTCAAATTAGTTCATCAGGTTAAATTTGCTGATTGAAAAGCATTTTATACAGGTCTTCTTTGAAAGAACTTACATCTTTATTGTGTCTTTCATGCCCTTAATACATGTAATTTGCTGCCCTCGGGCAATACCAATACAAATCTAATATATGTCTGCCTGTTAGATTTGGGAGCTGAGATCTTCCATACAGTTTCATGTGACCCACAAATATCAAAACTGACAGCGCAGTTTGAAAATCTGGGCTAAGATCAGTAACATCAAATCCTCACATACTGCACATCGCCTACAAACATTGAGTAGACATATACAGTAACAGGGAGTCAGTTATCAAAGCTAGTTCATACAAAGTTCACAGGATCATTTTATTTTGCAATTAGAAAACCATTTTCTCCTCTTGCTTTTTCTTTCAGCAGGTACAGAGGTTCTCATAATTGTTCAAATTGTATTTTCTGCAAAACCATATTAATTAAAGGAGGACCAAACTAAGGATCCCTAGGAAGTTGAACTGCACAAGAAGTGCACTGAATAGCTGATTGCAGATAGCCAGGGTTACAGGTGCCAGGGACTACACATCTATATAAAAGTGCTTGCATCATCCAAGTAACTTGACTCAGCTCTCTAGTCCACAAATGTATAGACAGGATGTTGCAAGCAATCATTTTAAAATTTACAGAAGGGACTTCAATGGATTTTACTTAAATTAAGAAGCATACTGCACCCAATAAATAGAAAACCAGCAGCCAACTGGAGAGAAAATACACACTCTATTCAAAATCTATAACAATGACAACAAACAAACTCGAACAGCTTGCTACTCCCTTGACCTAAACATTTCCAAAATAAAAGTTTTCATAAGGTACTGCATAATACTCTGTCTAAGATGAAGATATATGGGAGTGTAGTTTAAGGAGGGTAGTGGGAAGGGGGGGAGATGCAGGCTGCTCATGTCCCCTGGGTGGAAAGTCTGCTGGAAGTTGACATGACCAGTCAACCCTGTGCCCCCTACCCCTGCCGTAACTTGCCAGGGCCAGAAAAATTAGTGGAAACATGTCCTAACTTAGAGATGCCAGCCAATCTGATTGATTGGCAGATTTATCAGTCCTGGCAATACCAGAGCTCACACTTGAGATTGCATGAAGGAGAACAAAGAATTTTCACGGCTGCCCCAGAAAATTAAATCCCTGGGCTTTAGGGTGAGGATGCACCTTAGACCCCAGGAGGGATGCAGGGGATTGGGGAGCCAGGTTCTGGAGGGCAGGCAGGATGGAAATGTAGGCACTAATTTGTTAATAAACCTAGCAATGGCAACCTATACATTGCTAATAAACCACAGATAGTGTGGTTATCTGTCTATGAAGAGACTAACAGTTGGACCCTAACCACTGACTTTTGTATTTTAGAGATACAAGATTGTGAAGAAATTGTCAGAATCCAACATTTCTCATTACAGATGTTGATATTTCATTATTGATATTCTTGTAGCTTATTTCTATGATTGAGGAGTGAATGTGCATTGAATCCAGGGTAAACAAGTGTTAAGTAACAGACCCAGGGAAGGGTTAGCATACAGAAGGGAGGGTTGGTGGAGACTTGGAGTGTCTCTTTAATGCATACAAGGTATCCCTGAATTATGATTCCCCCCCATACCATCCCATCTTTTCCAATGTAGGTCTTTAAAAATGGTCAACTCTGTCCAACTGGCCACTTCAGTGATATCATGTCATGGGTTGCATGTGATTGGAGTCAATAGGCCTTTTAACAAGCCTAACTGATCTTTTGTTTATTTGAATATGGAAGATGGGCAATTGATTTCAGAATACACCTACCTAACATGCTACAGATGTGAATTCAGGTAGGTAGGAACATAGGGGGTTAATTATCTGATCTATTTAATGTGCCCCCTGCTGAGAACAGTCCCAGCTTTTGCAAGTAAAATCCAGCCCATGGAGTCAGTGGACATATAGCAGGATCAAAAGCCAGCTATCTACAAACAGAAAATAGTGAGTAGTGGTTAAAGATAGTTACTAAGTCTGCCAGAAGGTAGAAACTGGAGTTTCAAAAGTATCAGTGCCTTATATATTAGTCCCCTCTCTCCAAAGACCTACATTACATAATTTCCACGGTTTAAATAAATTGAGAATCAGGCAAAGTATTTAATGTATGGCTGATTCATGCAGCAGATGGCAAATTCAGATGAAAACCTAAAACTGCTTACCTTCACGAGGTACACTTGGCAGTCACTGACATAGTCATACTCCAGTCCGTCAAAACTACGATAATGACGATCACTGTAGATCGTGCATACTGCAGGACATGGGTGGTATGTGCAGTTAAAAACTCCTCGCATGCAAACACTGAGAAAATAATGAATTATTAGGTTCAATTTAAAAGAAGAGCATCAGTCTACACTGAAGTTTCTTTCAATTAATAAAAAGAACTGAGTGAACTGTTAAATTCTGAATGATCACCTTCAGTAAATGTGACCTTACTTAAGGCTCATTTGGCAAGAAGATAACAACATAAAATATTCATAGTGTTAGGAAATGGAGCACAAATTGCCTTCTCTCATTGACTGTGGACATCCCAGGCTAAGCCAACATCTGTTGCTAGACCACTTCAGAATCAACCATATAGCTGTAGGTGTGGAGTCATATGTACACCAGATCAGGTAAAGATGGTACCTGAAGGACATTAGTCAACCAGATGGGTTTTGAATGATAATCAGTTATGGTTTTAGATTTCAATTTCAGATGTAATAATTGAACTTAAATTCTATCAGCTACAATGATTTGAACTTGTATCCCCAGAGCATTAGCCTAAGTCTCCATATACCGGACCAGTGACATTACCGCTACACCGCCATTTTTCCTCACTTGGTCCTACTTCCTGTGGAAGTGGCAGTGATGTGCTTTCTATTTGCCTAGTTGTGGAGAGAGAACAGAGAGAGTTCCCGATATCTGTTTTCACATCTATGCACAATCTGTACACCAATCAGGCTGGTGCTGAGAAAACCTGCTCAGAATCTTCTGAATATGTAAAAATAAATTGTAATGATCAGCAATACTGTGATAAAGAGGTCAAAACAGCTCTATCACTTACGATTTTCATAATTAACCAGAATGAATATTTTAAATCGTTTAATTACATCATGTGAATGATAAAGCTTTTAGTAAAAGTTCAGTTTATTTTTAAGAATAGATTGCACATACCAAGTGTAACATACTGTAGAAACCACTTCGCCTGGTAAATATTCCTGACCTTTCCAACTGCATGGACAATTTTCAGGCAAATAACAATCTCCACCATGTTTAATGAACCTGTAGCATCATGGAAAGAAAGTCAAAGTGATATTGTTAAATTCTGCACATACTTTATGATGCTGGGAAGCATAATAATATTTGAATCAAACAGTTAATCTTCAAAGTGAATTTCTTCAGTGTCCTTCCATCCCTATAGCTTTAGAGAACTCCTTTTATGGATGGAACTGAACTGTCATTGGAGTTATGGCAATGATATGACAGAAATTCTCATGACATTCATCCCCATAAGTTTGGTAGACTTACACAATTATACTACATTACAGAGTTATCGCATTTGAAATGTGAAACTGCTTTAAATTATGTCAGATTTCTTGGTCATGTGTATATTTATAATATCATAGAATCCCTACAGAGTTGAAGCAGACCATTTCGCCCATCAAGTCTATAGTGACCCTCCAAAGAACATCCCACCCAGACCCAAGCCCCTACCCTTATCCCTGCATTTGCCATGGCCAATCCACCTAACCTCCACATCTTTGTGACTGTGGGAGGGAACCCACACAGACACAGAAAATGTGCAAACTCCACACATAGTCACCCAAGTATGGAATTGAACCCAGGTCCCTGGCACTGTGCAACAACAGTGCTAACCACTGAGCCACCATGCCACCCATGCTTATAATAACACTACTGGAGAATTACTTAAATATTTTCAGTATACTTTCACTATTTACAATTATCAGTTGCAGCGATGCTATGTTAAGATTAATTACATTAACTTGCAGTGCAAGCTTAATACCATTTGTGATATCTATACTTTCTCCTTGCCATAGCATTCAATCTTCCTTCACCATGTAATTTTATTGGCCTTGTTAATGTGGTTTGAACCTATGCAACTGTAGAAAAATGTGCATATGTGAAAAAAAACACTTCTGGATCTCCAGAGATAATTTGTTGGTTGATTTTTCTTTATTTTGATATCAACACAAATAATGCTTATTGTCATCTTGCTGTTTTACAACAAGCTAACACATTTTCACATTTGTCATAACCAGAATTATGTATTTGTAATGACGAATGACAATTTACATTCATATCAAACTTTAACGTAGCTATAATCCCCAAAGCGCTTCATGAATCTTTCATCTAGAAAAGGTCACCAAGACAAAAGAAGGAAATAGTAAGAGGAGGAACCAAAACTCTGATGAAAGGAATTGATGTAGTAAAATCTTAATGCAAATGCATACGGTAAACAAGTAAAAGAGTGTAGGGGAGGAAATGCTAAGTCAGAGGTACAGACAATTTGATAGGACATTTTAGGGCTACAGGAGGTTACAGAGATATGGAGGGACAAGGCCACTATAGATTTAAACATAAGGACGAAAGTTTCATATTGGACTCATGGGGTCCAGAAGCCAATGTAAGTTAGCAAGGACAAGTACGTGTGATAATGGAATGTGAGCCGTCGAGCTTATAGGGATGGTGGGCAGGAGAGTACTGATGTAGTTAAGTCTGGAGATGACAATGGATGACAGTTTTTGGGATCAATGAGCTGAGACAGGCAATGTGATGATGGCGGAAGTAGGAAATCATTGTGACAGAAAAAATATGGGATTAGAAACTTGTCTCCAAGTTAAACAGGAAGCTAAGATGACCAATTAGGTGTGTCAGCCTGATACACTGGTCAGTAAGAGAGTTGGAATTGGTGCCAAGGGAGCAACATTGATAACAGAAAACAGAGATGATGTCTTCCGTCTTCCTAATGTATAACTGGCCAAAATTGAGAATCAAAGGGTCACCTCCTCATTATGGTATATGCATCCTTTTTACTGAGCAGGTTCAGTCATTTTTCAATCCAATTTTCCTTCATTCCCTTCAGTCCTAATGTTGGTGAAAGGAGCAGGACTCGTGGATATCATGTTCCATTGAAATTCCCAATTTTTCCAATTTCCCCAACCTCGAAGTGTTATGTTTGACTGCATAAAGCAAATAATCATTCAGTAAATGGTTGTCATGAGGAAAGTAGTCACTTTGGGGATCTTCATTTGGTGCTGCCAGTTCTTGCATGGGGTATCATGGCAGCACTGACAGTTTCTAACCCGCCTCACTTCCAAGCTACGAATGACTCGCATTTCTTTAAAGAACAGATACGATTACATATCCTTCATGAAAAAAATACCATACATTCAGGTTTTCAATCAGCTCTTCAATATATCAATACACTTACCCAGGAGGACAAACACAACCTGAAATACATGGAGTCATGGGTGAACAAGTCATATTCATCATTAGGTTTTCACAAGTGACTTCACACGCTGCTCCTGTCCAAGGCAGACCAGGCTGAGGATCTTGACAGTCAAAATATCTCTTATTGTTAGGACATTCCCCAGGTTCAGGTTCTAAATAAAATCAATATAATGCTTCTTGTTATGTAATTCACAATTGAAAGGGGTACTTGCAAACTGAAATTGTTTTTATCAAATTAGGAAAAGTATTAGGACTAAGAATATATTTGTACTTTTAAAATATAAAGATAAATATATATACATGGCTGAATCTTACATTTCTTTAGCTAAGTGTCAGTGTGCCATGTTTTTTGGCTGGATTTCCATCTCAAGGCCTGGTGAGTTTTCTTGCCATCATTTACCAAACACACCTCATTAGCCCCCCAAGGCATCCCTCATGTTTGATTCCAGCCCCATCTCACCACACGCCATTCCCAGAACAATCAGCTCATCAGCAAATATCCCAGAAATCACTGCCATCCATTGTATCTGTGCCACGATTTTTTCATTCATTCGTGGTAGGTGGGCATTGCTGGCTGGCCAACATTTCTTGCCCATCCCTAGTTGCCCTTGTAAAGGTGTTGGTGAGCTGCCTTTTTGAACTGCTGCAGTCCATGTGTTGTAGGTTGACCCACAATGCCCTGAGGGAGGGAGTTCCAGAATTTTGACCCAGCGATAGTGAAGGAACAGCGATATATTCCCAGGTCAGGATGATGAGTGAATTGGAGGGGGACTTGCAAGTTGTGTGTTCTTATATATCTGCCACCCTGTCCTTCTAGATGGAAGTGGTCATGGGTTTGGAATGTGCTGTCTGAGGATCTTTGGTGAATTTCTGCAGTGCATCTTGTAGATAGCACACACTGCTGCTACCGAGCGTCGGTGGGGCAGGGAGTGTGAGTTGGTGCCAAACAAGTGGGCTGCTTTGTCCTGCACGGTATCAAGCTTCTTGAGTGCTGTTGGTACTGTACCCATCCAGGCAAGTGGGGAGTCAGTGGCCTGACTCGTGCCTTCCAGATGTTGGACAGGCTTTAAAAGCCAACTGTGCCACCTGGACAAGCCGCACTGCGTGCTTCCACTTATTTGGCCTGGGCACGGCAGCCCGGGCGAAATTGGTGCCCTGCTCTGAAGGTCCTGCTGGATTGATGGTGCAGAGACTGGCATCACTCCTCCCCCAGAATCAGCAGAGCAGGTCACTCTGGTCCAAGGCTGCCACCTAGGTTAAAACAGTCTCTGCCATCTGGAGGAATGCTGGAGCACTCTAGGAAAAAGGTCAATCAATTTTCCCTCCTCCATCAGTGTAAGTGCCACCATCTTTGTCCAATATATCTCCCTCAATGTATTCTTGCTGCTGCATCCACCTCCCATCAAGGGTCATGCTTTAGCAGTCTCCCTAACGCTTGTAACATCTTCCCTATTCACCCTCACCCAACACCCAACACCACTACCCCTCTATGCCTTCTGCATCACCTAACCACTTGCTTGGGACGCCTCCCCAACTGCACCAAAAGTAATAACTGTGCCATTCATTTCCATCTCCCTTAATATACATCTCTTTCTGTCTTTCATTCCAGGAGAAAACCAAACCAGTAAGAGAAGTCTCCCATCAACCCAAGGCCCACAGCATCATCTTATTATCATTGAAGTTAGGCATCTATCCAACGCACCAGAGACATCTGAGGTGGATGGCTCTTAGCTGCCTTTGCTGTAGCAGTTCAAGTATTCTCCCTTCCATTTCTCGCCTTACACCCCACCTCAACCAACCCACCCAGCAGGCAATATTAGATGGCTGGAGACCCAAAACAGAGGATAATTGCCTCTTTTTTACTCTCCTTTGTACCAATAATTAAGCATTCCACATGAGGAACAGGAGAGTGAAACTGATCTTATGAAATATCTACTTGCATAGATCATTTTGATCCACATCCAAAGAATATCAAATGAAGTTATATTATGATAACAAAGCTAGTTTATTTGATTATTACTGTTGGTAGCATTTGATTATATGGAATTCCAACAAAAAATGAAGTTAGACTATGATATTCATGATCCAGTAATACATATTCTGTTATAATGTCATGTTTTCCCATACTATTGAGTTGTCAGGAACTCTGAAAATAAATAATAAGCATTGAAAATAGAAGTCAACCAGAACATTCAAATCATCTTTACTCAAAATAATTTTAGGAAGAATTGCAGGTAAAGCTTTCCTGTAAATTCAGTTTACCTTCCATTCAGTACATTTTATGAAATTATGTGGTTGTGTTAATGACGAGTAATTGTAACATACCTGGCTCCACAGGTGCACATGCTACCCTTCCATTCCTACACAAGCTAAAGAAAAAATTATTAGCTGTATGAAATATTATTTGTTTTAATGTTTTAAGAATTAATAAAGCAAACCTGAAATGTAACAAAATTACCCAGTTTTACATTGAGTATATAGCACAGAAATGGGCCATTCAGCCCAACTAGACTATGCCAGGATTCATGGTCCAGCTTAATCTTCTCCCATTCTTCGCCCTTAACATCTATCATAACCCTTTATTCCTTTCTCCCTCATGCGCTTGTCCAGCTTCCCCTTAATAGTAAAAACCGAAAGAAATGCAGATGCTGTAAATCAGGAACAAAAACAGAAGTTGCTGGAAAAACTCAGCAGGTCTGTCAGCATCTGCGAAGAAAAATGAAGAGTAAATGTTTCAGGTTCTGAGGTAGGGTTACTGGACCTGAAACGTTAACTCTGATTTTTTCTCCACAGATGCTGCCAGACCTGCTGAGCTTTTCCAGCAACTTCTGTTTTTGTTCCCCTTAAATATATCTAGTTCATTCAATTTCATCACTCCATGGTAAAAGTTCCACATTTTCACCACACTCCAGATGATAAATTTTCTTCTGAATTTATGATTGAATTTATTGAAGACAATCTTATATTGATAGATTCAAGTAATGTTCTACACCATAAAAGGAAATATTTTCTCTGAATTCACTCTATCAGGTTATCTTCAGGCTTTTTTCAAGAGAAAAGAGACATAGTCAATCTTTTCCTGATATCCATGTCTATTAATTCCCAGAAAAATCCTTGTAAAATCTCCTCTGCAGTGCCTCTATATCCTTATGGGGCATTCAGACTACATGCAATGGTCCACGTGTGGTCTAACCAAGTTGCTACATGTTTAACATCACTTTCTGGCTTACCAATTCAATCCCTTTGGAAATAAAACCTCATGCTCTGCTTGCTTTTCTTTTTCATGAACTTGCTAACCTATGAAGTAACTTTTAGTGACTGGTGCATTTATATTCTGAGTATGCTTTGTTCCTTTATTCCATCTAGATATGTGACTTCTAAACAACTTCCTCACTTTTTCTACCAAAACATAGTAGTCATATTTCTACATGTTGAACTTCATTTGCCAAATATTTGCCCTTTCGCAACTTATTATTGTCTCCCTATAATTTGTTAAAGTTCTTCTTTGTATTGACGATGCTCCCAAATTGGAGTCATCGCAAACATGGAAATAGTATTTTTGACTCCAAAATCCAAATGTTTTATATAAATTGAGTTGTCTACTTTATGAAATAACAGAATAAAATTAAAAATGAAACTCATATCAGCCTGAAAATATTTTAATTGATTTGTTGCACCAAATTTTGGAAAATCGTTTTAGCCATTTCATACAAGAACTCCAATTAAACACTATCCCTGACTCAGCAGAGGTTTAGGAACATGATCCAACTTTCACAGTTGAAAATTCCTCACAGTTGTAGCTTAGAACCTGAACGGCAATCTTCAACAGACAAAGAACAAGAGTCATACCATGGTCCTGAGTTACTGTACGTGACTTCTCCTGCCTGAAATATTCCTCCCATAAAGTGACAGGAACACTGAGATCTAGAAGAGACATATTGGATACTCTGAGCCATTTTTATTATTTATTGACTGTATAACAACATCATTATATAAATATCAAGATCATGATATAAATATAAATAAAAACAAGTAGACTTTAAGAAATTGAGTCTTCCAAGTTCTGAAATATTCCAATTTACTCTTTGAGGAAAGAATCATGGTCATTCTGGAGAAGGTACAATGACTCACGTTATCACACTTCTTAAAATAAATTCTTTGGTTAAGATTAACTCCAGATCCACAAATAATGGGTCATGGGAAATGTTTATTTTATGCAGTGAGAACAGAAATAACTGGAAAGTCATCCGACAGCTCCGACAGTCCTGTGGAGTGTGAAAAAGAGTAAACATTTCAAGTTGATCTAACTCTTTATTTTGGAATAGAAGAGTAACAATCAACTCAGAATGTAACCCTGCTTCTCTCATCATAAATACTGTCAGTTCTGTTGAGATTTTCCAGCCTTTGCTATTTTTATTTCAGACTTCCAGCATCCTCACTCAGCAGTAATTTTCCTTTTGTCGCATTTTACACTGTTGGCTCTCAGCACAGTAGAAATGTTTCTTTTTTATGTATTTGTACTTGTGCACACGCACACTGTCAGGCAGAGACATTCTGCTCTTCATACTGACTAAGAACATTCAATTCTTGGATGCAGTGATGCGAAGGCAGGCGAGGAAATCCTCTGCTTCAAGCCTCCACTTTCACTACACAGCCCCAAAGTGGGCAGGGTATAGTATAAGCTAATATGCTTTCAGTCCTTCTGCCTGATTCGTTTCTCAATTCACCTGTATACTACCCAAATAGAGGATATTCCAAAAAGTGATGGTGGTCTTTGTATCCAGACCTTCCGCCAAAAAGAGGGTCTGTGGCTATCTTAACTCTGAAGATAAAGGAAGCAGAAATTATGGCAATGACTTCTTCTCCCTCCTCCAATATGGCATGGTGGGTTAGTGGTTAGCATTACTGCTTCACAGTGCCAGTGATACGTGTTCGATTCCACCCTCAGGTGACTGTGTGGAGTTTGCACGTTCTCTCAGCGTCTGCGTGGGTTTATCTGGGTGCTCTGGTTTCCTCCAATAGTCTAAAGATATGCAGGTGAGGTGGATTGGCCTTGGGAAATGTAGGGTTACAGGGGTAGGGTAGGGGGTTGGTCCAAATGGAATGCTCTTTGGAGGGTCGGTGTGGACTCAATGGGCCAAATGGCCTGCTTCCACACTGGAGGGATTCTATGAATGCAATGTTTGGCCTTGACAGCTTCTACATACATCTCCACATCAACAACTAATAAGACTTGATGTCACTATCCAACGGGCTGACACAGTCCTTGAAGTTCCAACTAAAACATTAAGGTGGAACCAGCCTGAAGGCTGGCCCACAGCAATTAATGCTGGAGCAGATTCATTTCCTTTAAAATGGGACTGATACCCGTTGTTTGAGAGAAAGTCTCACTTTAGAGAGCTGCCAGTCATTGGTAGTTGTGGCAGCACCTGCTGGGAGCAGTGGGCAGTCCCCCCATCATGATGAGCCCCGATAGTCTGAGGTTGGAACTTTCAGCTGAGTGAGGGTGTGCTTCAGGAGACCAGAGGCATGAGCAAGAGTAGGATTGCCAACCCTCCAGAATTGGTCTGGTGTCTCCAAGAATTAAAGGTCAATCTCCAGGACACTGCTATGTGGAGAAGATCCATCTCAACATGAAAATTGTTTTTGTCCCTTCCTTTGAACATTTCTCTTTACCAAATATAAACACATTGAAAATAGGGGGAGAAAGGTTTTTTTTATTTTGTTCGTTGATAAGTACTATATGCTTTCCAATTGGCATAAGAAGACAGTGCACCATAGTGTGTGCTAGGGTCCATGGCTTGTCCTAAGTCCCACCATGGGGACTGCCAAGTCCCACAGGGTCTGTGCCAAGTCCCAACATGGTCTGTGCCAAGTCCCACATGGTCTGTGCCAAGTCCCGACATGGTGAGTGCCAAGTCCCAACATGGGTTGTGCCAGTGCCACCATGAAGAGTGCCATTATTACCATGGAGAGTGCCAAGTCCCACAATGGTCTGGACCTTCTCCCTGCTACAGATAAAATACTTGCAGCGGCTGGATGTAAGTGGCCATTAGGGCCTCAAAAGGCTGGAGCATAAGCATAACGCCCAACACATCCTCAAAAAATTTCACACAGGTCGGGGTGGAAACATATGCAGTAGGAAGATCACTCTGTGGATTTCATGTGCCATAAAAGCCATTGGTGGAGTAAGTAAAAGCCAGCTCAGTATTATAGGCATGGAACGATGCTTCCATTTCCATCATGGCTGTTTGCAACCCAAAGCCTTTCTAGAGTCTGGAAATGGGCTGAGCCAAAAGATACTGGGTCATACAAAGAGATCAAAACTGAAAATTTAAGAAGACACTTCCTTTGAAGACAAGGCAAAGCTGTAGCGTGTAGTGCCTTTCTGATTCCCAGGAGGAGCCCTTGATATTGGTGAATTGACATGATGTTTTCAGGACTGTTTGCATGTAAAGGTAAAATCATCTCAGCCTGAACAGGCCTAGGGCTACTCTCTCACTAGAGAGAGATGACTGGTGGCAATTTAGTTTGAAGGTCACCATTTGTCAGGAAAGGGGAGAAGAACCCTTCACAATAACATCAGCCAGTACAGGAACTGAACCCATGCTGTTGGTATCACACTGTTTCATAAGCTTGCTAGCCAGCCAACTGAGCTAACCAACCCAGGTGGTGGTAAAAGTCATAGAGAATTGCAAGAGAAAATAGCAGGTGATACAGTCAAAAGGGCAAAGCCCAAATGCTGCCTCCATTTTACTATTTGTGTAAAACTACTACAGGACCAGGAGCACTGGAGGCTCACAGTAAGAGTAAAAAACTTAGGAAAAATCTTAATTAATGTTTAGAAAGGTTTTCATTTCTGATCTGACTGCAGAACAAAATGAGTTAATAGACAAAAGGTGATAAAGTAAGTGTGATAAATTAGTTCAGTTTATTGCTGAACAGACCTGATGTGCTGGGATATAATAGAACAAAAACAAACTTACTGCACGACACAGCGTTGCAATACTTCATCATAGAATGTTCCATTGGGGCAGTTGCAGCCTTCAGCACAATCATCACCACAAATCTCATTTACAGAAAGTGACTGGCAAGTCCGCCCACAAGAGGAGGAACAAATATGGTATAACATATTAGCCGGGCAGATGATACCTGTATAGCAGAATAATGTCAAGCTAAAAGCACTGACAAAATAAATTTATCCTGTACATCACAACAGCAACTTATAGTTGTATACTGCCTTTATAATAATAAAACATCACAAGGTGCTTTGTCAGAGAATTATAAAACGAAATATGATACCAGATCATATAAAGAGATATTAGGTCATATTACCAAACTTTTGAACAAACAGAGAGGTTTTAAGGAGCCTAAAGGGTTGAAGAAAGGAAGAGAATTGGAGAGTTATAGAGAGGGAATATATATGTGTCGAGAAGACTGAAGGCAAAGTAAACTAAAATTGGAAAAGATCAAGATTAGAGGCAGATGCATATTTTGGAGAGTTGTGCAAATGAAGGAGATTACAGAGATAGAAGAGAAAATGGGCATATAGGGCCTTGAAAACAAGGATAAGAATTATTTAATCAAGACATTGCTTGACCAGAAGCCAATATAGTTCAGTGAGCACAGGGATGATACAGGAATAGAAATTAAAGCATAGGTAGCAGATTTCTGGATGACTTCCAGTTTACAAAACACCCCAGCAATGTCCCTAATCAGCTCACACTTGGGGCTTAATTATGCAGTTTGTTTCTGCAGTTGATGGCCCATCTCCACAAGATTGCCCAGAGACAGGAATGTGTCAGCCCACTTGACCATGAAATTCCTTCCCTGGTCCACCCTGAAGTCTGCCTCCTGCCACCGCCTTTCATAGAACTGGAAAGAATCTGTACTCAATGTACCAACTGAGTTTTGATTCTGTAATGTCAGAATTCTACTGAAGAGAACATTGGAGATAAGTCATCCTTGAGCTGTTTTTATCTGCCTAATGGTGGCCAATTGAAAGAAGCACAGGCCTAGAAGAACAAGAGGCAGTAAGACTTTTACCTGGATTTTGTCAATTAAGCAAACCAGAGAAAATTAGAAAACAGCATTGTATGCATTCTTATTCACAAGTTTGAACACTGTATAGCTGCATTGCAGAAATTTCCCTTATCAATACATCCCTTTGTTGGCAGTTCAGCTGCTCTGAGTAGCGTGAATTAAGTATTCTTGCAGTTCGGTCATTGACCTTTCAATCTGTAAAATTTGATAACTCAGGCACAAAAAAAATTAAACACATCATCATCCTGACTTTCATTTGTTTTCAATGGGGAAGTTAACTATATGTTTACAAAAGAGAAAAATATGCCCAAAACTTTGGATCCTTTGCCAAGATTAATTGCAAATTTAAGAAATCATTTGCAAATTTCAGGAAGTCAAAACAATTTTATGAAAACAAGAATAATGGTGATTTTTTTTAATTAATAGCAACTCCTCATAAAAAGTAGCTGCAATAATAAAAAGCATCTTAATTCTGGAAAACTTTCTCAGTCCTACAAGCCAAGTGCATCAATAAAACTTTCTCCCATGTTTTATTTTTGCCTCCTCAATTTTGTTCTAGTCTTTCCCTTTTCAAGTCATATACATTGTCCACATCCAATTTAGGGTGGTGTGGTGGCACAGTGGTCAGTACTGCTACCTTACAGTGGTAGGGATGTGGGTTCAATCCCACCTTTGGGTGACTGTATGTGTGGAGTTTGCACATTCTCCCTATGTCTGTGTGACTTTCTGCTCAGTGCTCTGGTTCCCTCCCACAGTCCAAAGATGTACAGTCTAGGTGGATTGGCCATGTTAAATTGCCCATAGTGTCTGGGGATGTATAGATTAGGTGGGTTACAGGAAAAGAGTAGGGGAATGCTCTGAGGGTCAGTGTGGACTTGCTGGGCTGAAGGGCCTGTTTCCACACTGTAAGGATTTTATGACAATCTTCCACACTTCAGCTTCAATCTTGTGATTAGCCAACTGGAAAGCATTTCAAGAGAAGCTGAGAGTATCAGTTTTTCCCTCTAATTATTGTTGCTACTCCAGTTAGCAGTTCATTGGTGATCTTGGAAAAAGATAGCTTCTAGCTCATCCAGGTGAATTACATAACAGTTAATCACTTTTGAACTCACAATCTTCTACTTTCGTGTTGAGTACACCACATGAGATATCCAGCCTTTAGAAGGTAACAGATAGCATAAATCAGTTTTAATGATATTGTTTTTTATATCATCTATCTCAGGCCTAATGACTCTGACCAGATATCCAAAACTGAACTAGGCTCATTTTAGTTATTATAAATTCACCTCTTAACAACTTACCACAATCCGATGCTTCTGATCTGAAGTTAATGTGAACCTTGTGTTTGGCACAAAGATAAGCATAGTGTGCAAGGGCTGTACACATGCATAAACTTCCACATTTGCAAGCATCATAGCGACACTGCTGATAATAAGGGCTGGGATTCACAAATGAATGGCACGGTGCAAAGAGTTCTTGATTAAGAATGTCACACATCGTTGACGAATATAAAGCTGTATGTGCAAATAAGGCAGAAAAAGACTGAAATATACAGTTTTTAAGTAACTATAAATTTACTAACAGAAATCTAAGTGAAGAAATATACCACAAGATACATCAATTAAAATTGGATACCATTTTGTTGATTAGTATCACAGGGATCAACCAAGGGGATATTTATTGGAGTTACACAAGCTGATGAAATCTTCCATGCATTGGCATGTAACTGTGGAGTACCTTCAATCATACCTACAGGGGAACTAGAAGTGAAAAAGGAAGGAATTACAAATGCATACAAATGTAATAAACTCCATACAAGTAATTCAACATATCTTGCAGCCAAAGACATTAGTCACATTTCACATCTAACAATGTTTCATGTAATTCTGAATATAGCATAATGTCCAACTGCTCAGTATGCCTAATTAGATGCCCAATACTGCAATTCGCACACTTCCCACTGGTACTTTTTTCATGGATCATGTGTTCTTTTTTTCAAAGTAATCTTGAGAGGCTATATCACAAATATAATTATCCCTCAATTATGCCCTCTAGTGTCATTTCCAGTGTGCCCTGCCGCCAGAAGAGTTGTCAGGGAATTCAACCCTGTCAGTGTCAGCACCACCCTTCACCATTTCTATGGAATCTTAACTGATGGTGATAGTAATCAAGGGGAAATCCTACTCCAGAGGATGGTCACCAGCACCAGAGGAATGGTACTCACTGCTGAGGAAGGGAGGAGCACTTAGCCCACAATGCAAGTTTAAAATATGGTCAAAGTTGTTTTATAATAAGTAAAATCACTGCTGATGGAAGGAAAACCTCTCTGACAAAAGTGCCGGCACTGCAGCGGTTACTAACGGACCCATTTTGCTTAGAAAAACTGCTGTGGTAATGCCACCTCCATTTAGTTGACAGCCTCTCTAAACCTGTTTGAGGGAGTGGGGGAATTAATCCACAATCAACAAAATGTTGTTATCCGGATAAAAAGGCCCTTGATAAAGACCTTCCATATTCAAATTGTCTTCCTGCTTCCTAGTGGTGAGAGGCCTGTCTGCATCCCTACCTATCATCAGTAAATTGCCCCTATGGAGTTAAATGGTAGGGAACATGAGTAACTGTGACCCTCTCAATTTTACGGGCCGGATTTCCACCTGGTGTGTGTTAAATATATACAATCCGGATGGTCAAGAATGAAATAAGACACAATTTTTTTTTTTGGATGGAGGCTTATTCAGAGGATCCATCCTTACAGATCACTGCCTCTTAAATACGTGCCAGAGTCCTAGTTTACTATCTTTATATTCTTTTCAAATACATATTAAAATAAATTAATTAAACCAAATTAAAAGTTAACAGCCCCAAATGGGCAATGTAACAAAAATGCAAACACAAAATAAACTTAAAGTTTAGTTAAAATGTTTTGGGAGGAAACACTCCAGTCCCCATGGCACCTACTGGTCACATAGGCTTCAATTGAGCAATTGGACATCACGCACTCCATCTCCAAGGAGACATAACCTCAGAAGTCAGGCAGGCAGTCACATACAATGACTCCCCTCCATTGGCTCACTGGAACTGTTTATGGCCATTACGGCCAAGCCTAGGAGCAGGGGTGATCCTCTGATAAGACTCCTCAATTATGCAGAAAATGTAGGTGGCCTGGGAATCCATGAATCACCTTAACTATTACCTGCATGAATTTGCTTCATGCAGAGAGACTCCCACTGAGTGGCTCTTTCCACATATGGACAGCAAGATGGAACAGCAGCTCTCTGATGACTGCTACTATTATCATCAGAGGAGAACTCTAGCATGAGGCAACCAGGTTCCAAATTCTAGTCAGGTCCTGGTAAAAGTTAGTCAAATCCCCTAAAGAGCTCTGAAGACCTGAATAATCTAAGACAAGGAGCTACATGTAATTATTGCAGTCGTGAACCTGGTTGGATTTCTTTGTACATTTTTGATCTGTTCAGCAATGTTATAACTCACCTCAGGAATAGGTGAGACTTGAACCCATGTCGCTTGGCTCAGAGATGGAGACAATATCGCTGCACCACAATAAAACCCTCCTAGCTCGCTTTATATGTGATCTCAGATATTTTCTAATTAACCTGTTCAGACATGCAATAACACACCTATCAAGCAGGTGGGACTTGAACTGGGCTTCCTGGCTCAGAGGTACAGATCACAGGAGCCCATATATGATCCCAGTCTTTAATCAAACAATGCTTATCACCCGTGTATCTTTAACACAAAATCAACCAACAATTAACAATGCAGGCAGTTAAAATTATTTCTATATTTTTGACTAAATAGAAAGTTCCCTTAGAAAGCAATCTGAAACCTACTGAAAGGAACGTTCAACATGGAGCAAAAAAAACCTGTCCCTGAACTGACATCAACTACAAATCTACAAAATATCTGTTTCCGCAAAGCTTTCAAACTACACTATATATTCTTTGTATAAATAATCAGTTATATAACAGCAGGGGTAGCATAGTAGCTCAGTAGCTCAGTGGCTAGCACTATTGCTTCGCAGCATCAGGGATCTGGGTTCAATTCCACCCTTGGGTGATTGTCTGTGTGGAATTTGTACATTCTCCTTGTGTCTATGCAGGTTTCCTCCCACAGTCCAAAGGTGTATGGGTTAGGGGGATTGGCCATGCTAAATTGCCCATTGTGTTCTTAGAATTGCAGTCTTGGTGGATTAGCCATGTGAAATTGAGGGGCTGAGTCTGGATCTGGATGGGATGCTCTTCGAAGGCTCAGTGTGTACTTGATGGGCAAGACTGCCTGCTTCCACAGTATAGGTTTTCCATGATAATACACAATGACAAATCAAACCAAGTATGTAACATCCTGTGCTCAGAGCACTTCCATAATGGGAAACCAATCAGAGACATTTACTTGTATATTTTGTGTAAAAGGTGAATCTTTCTAAAGAGCAGTACAGACTCACAGAAAGTCATCTCGTAAGTTTCCATTATATGTTCCACATAGGCCCACGGTGTTTCCTCTCCAGCTATTATCAAGCTGGAGATACAACCTTCCACCTTCTTTATCAAACTGCATCGAGAGACCAAAGTTTGTCTTCGCTTGTATAAATATAGATGATAATCTACGCATTTCAACAATTCCTATAAGTAACAAGATCTGAAATTAACAAAATACTCGAGCTACGAATGAATATCCCACAAGAATGTTATATCGACACAAAAGTAAACTGGAAATGTTTATAAAAACCGAAAGAACTATGGGTGCTGTGAATCAGGAACAAAAACAAAGTTGTTGGAAAAGCTCAGTAGGTCTGGCAGCATCTGTGAAGGAAAAAGCAGAGTTAACGTTTCGGGTCCGGTGACACTTCCTTAGAAATATTTCTATTATGTTGCAATCCAGTTGAAATTACTTTAATAACCTAAGCTAAAGTATCAAGACATTTTCATAGTGTGCAGCTTAATTAAGATATTTTGTCTGAAAACAGAGCTTATTTTATGGCAGAGGAGCTTAAAATAGTAACTACTACAATTATTTTAAGAGAGTTCTCATACTTGGATACTAACCAACAATTCAGAAATGTTTGTTGTGGAAATTTGTTCTAAAAACCATGCTAGAGCAGGTTCCCTCGAGATTATGTACACTAAAATGGACGTGTGAAACTTCTTATAATTGACATATGAGCATAAATTCTCTGTTCAGTTTCTCTTATTCTAGCACACTGCATCAATTTGCAGTGGTGTGGAAAACATGTGTGGTACCTGCCTAAAACAGGCCAGAGCTTAACGTAAATTATAATTTAGAGATGTGGCATACAGTATATATTATTTCAATGTGTTGTTTTGCTTGGAATATCCATTCCAAGTTATGCCTCACTGGCAGCACATCAAAAGCATCCCAATATGATCAAGTTAGTGCATAATGAATATAATTACTAAAGTGTATTATCCGTGTCAACAACTCTTGAACATGCAATTTGTGAAGGTAATGCAATGCAACCATAATCAGAGGGCCATTGTGAAGCTAGAATCCACTACAATTAGGCCTTTAGTCACTATGAAACATATGGAGGGTTTGAAGCTAATACACTACTGGGTGAATACTAGAGGTCAGTTGTTAGTAGGAAGGATAAAAGGGCAAATTTGGGAACAGATTAATTTGGTTGGGCAAGAACACAGCAGATGCAACCATAAGTGTGTGACATTATTCACTTTAATAAGAAAAATAAAAAAGCAGAATATTTCTTGAGTGATAAGAGACTTGTAAATTTTTGGTTATCATGAGGAGTATGGATAGGGTGAGTAATCAAGGTCTTTTCCCCAGGGTGGGGGAGTCCAAAACTAAAGAACATAGGTTTAAGGTGAGAGGGTAAAGATTTAAAAAGGAACTAAAGGGGCACCTTTTTCATATAGAGGGTGGGGTGTGTATGGAATCTGCTGCCAAAGGAGGTGGTGGAGGCTGGTACAGTCAAAACATTTAAAAGGCATCAGGATGGGTATATGAATAGGAAGAGTTTAGAGGGATATGGGCCAAATGTTGGCAAATGGGACTAGATTAATGCAGAATATTTGGTTGGCACGGACCAGTCGGACTGAAGGGTCTGTTTCCATGTTGTACATCTCTACAGCTCTATGATTCAGAAGGACCTGGACATGCTTGTCCAAGAATAACAAAAAGTTAACATGCAAGTAACAGCAAGCAATTAGAAGGCAAATGATATGTGAGCTTTACAAAGTGAGTTTAAGGTAAGGAAGTCTAACTGCAATTATATTGATCATTGGTGAGACCACCTCGAGTATTCGATTTTAGCCTACTGAACCAAGGAAGCACATATCTGTCTTGAAGGAAAAAGATTACCAGACTGATGTCTAGAAAAGGGGAATTGTTCCATGGGTAGAGATGATTAGGCCAAGCATATATCACAGACAGTTTAGAAAAATGAGAGGTGATCTAGCTGAAGTATAAATTCTTAGGGATCAAGACAGCTTAGATGCTAAGAAAATGTTTTCCATGTCAAGGAAATTTAGATCATGGCATTACACCATAATAATAAAGGGTCAGTCATTTTGTGCTGAGAAAAGAAGAAGCGTTTTGCTCAAAGGGTTGAAAATCTTCAAAATTCTCTACAACAGAGAACTATGGATTCTCAATCATTGAATACATTCAAGAAAACCATTGGTTACTGAGGGAACTAATGCATATGCGAGCTATGCCTGAAAAGTGAAGTTGAGGTAAAAGATCAGTCATAATTTTATTGAATGGTAGAACCTACACCAGCTGTTATTTCTTCTATTCTAGGGAATGTGGTGTAAGCTTAATTTGGAAGAATGAAATGATTGATCATAATATCATTAGGTTTAGGATTGTTGTTAAAGAAGGCAATGGCAAGGGAGAAGTGGGGAGACAGATCATCGATATAGTTGATGGCACTGAAATTGTACTTTTCCATTTTATCCCTTTCCACATAATTTTCCTTTATCTACCAGTGCATTTAGAACTGGAACATATGTTCACTGAATCTGAGAAATCTGGTAAAATGAAGAAGATATTCTAGCAAAATTGCTCAACAATTATTGTGTACAGTGGTGTATAGTAAAGACTATGGTATGGGACAGGCAAACCATGAGTTCAAAATCCCACATCGCAAGTTGTGAAACTGAATTCAATAAATGTGGCAGACAAAGGCAGCATGAAAGTTTCCAAATTTCTGTTAAAATCTAAATTTCAATAACATCCAGCAGGGAGGAAAACTGCCACTCCTACTTCTACTTATATTTGAGTTTAATTCCAACTATTGTTCAATTCTTTGTGTACTGCTGAGAAAAAGATATACTATTAAAGATTTACATCTTGCACTCATCTTCAGATGCAAGAAAGCCAAATTTCAAAGTGAACAACAATTTATATTGTTTTGGACAAGGGTGCTGATTGGGTGACATGTCAACTCTGATTGATGGACACATTGTTATGGGGAATGTGCCAAGGAGCTATTCTACCAAATGCATCTATCCAAATCAAAAAAGGCACAATGCCTCAGTAAATTCAATTTGTCTTCAGAGAACAGATCCATGAATACATGTTGCTTTGAATAAACATAAGTGCAAGCACATTGTAAGCCAAATTGATTACTTTAAATTGGTTGAAAGTGTAACATTTCAGATTGTTCAATGCATATTGCTCAAATGCAGGATCAGGTTGAACATGAGACACTTTGTTGTGAGTTTTGACAGTCCACATTAAATTACCATGCAAAGGTATGGTACTGCAATAATTTGAGCAACAAGTAAAGTTAAATGTTTTATGCTGGTCCTCTGCCGCAGCAACACAGGTAATACTATTCCCTATATGGATGCTACTGATAAGTCATTAAGAAATGTTCTATTGCCAAACAAATGAATTATATGCAATATGAATTTCAGTGTCAGCACAATGCACAAAATCAATACAGCGGAACATCAGGGCCAGTGATTGGGACTCAGGGCTCAAGGAGGCCCACTGTGTTCAGATTGGGACTGGGGCTGTATTTCTAGGCCAGGAGCAATACTGTCGCCCATCATTTCTGTCCCTGCCACTGGCAGTGTCAGATACATTAGATGCACATTTTAATAACTGGCAGATCACATCAAACCATAAGACCATAAGATATAGGAGCAGAATTAGGCCATTTAGCCCAGTGAGTCTGCTCTGCCATTCAATCATGGCGGATATGTTTCTCAACCCCATTCTCCTGCCTGCTCCCTACAAGCCTTGATCCCCAATCTAATCGAGAATCTATCTATCTCTGTCTTAAATACACTTAATGACTTGGCCCCTACAGCCTGATGTGACAATAAGTACCACAGACCAACTACCCTCTGGCTAAAGAAATTCCTCCTCATCTCAGTTCTAAAGGGTTGTCCCTTCACTCCGAGGATGTGCCCTCGGGTCCTAGTCTCTCCGACTCTTCACCTCCACTCAATCTGGCCCTCCCAGTATTCTGTAAGTTTCAATGAGATCCCACCCTCATCCTTCTAAACTCCATTAAGAACAGACCCGGAGTCCTTAACCAAGCTCTTCATCCCTGAGATCATTCTTGTAAACCTTCTCTGGACCCCTCCATGACCAGCTCATCCTTCCATAGATATAGAGCCCAAAACTACTCACAACATTCCAAATACAGTCTAACCAGCACCTTATACAGCCCCAGCATCTTTGCACTTGTATTTGAACCCTCGTGAAATGAACGCTAACATCATTTTTGCCTTCCTAACTGCCAAGTGAACCTACATGTTAACTTTAAGAGAACCCTGAGCTATGATTTCCAATCCTTTTGTGCTTCAGATTTCAGATTTCTGAAACGTTACCTCTTTTAGAAAATTGTCTATGCCTCTATCCTTCCTTCTCACATTTTTCCACATTGTATTCCATCTGCCACTTCTTTGCCCACTCTCCTAACCTGTCCCAGTCCTTGTGCAGCCTCCCAGAACCCTCAACACAGCCTGTCTCTCCACCTACTGTTGTGTCATCTGCAAACTTAGCAACAATGCTTTTGTCCAGATGAAGAGTCCCGACAAGGACCTCTGTAGAACTCCACTCGTCAACAGCTGCCATTCTGAAAAAGACGCCTTTATCCCTACTCTCTGCCTTCTGCCAGTCAGCCAATCCTTTATCCATGCCAATACATTGCCCCTAACACCATTGGCTGTTATCTTATTTAGCAGCCTCCTGTGCAGCACTTTGACAAGGGTCTTCTGAAATCCAAATATATCACGTCCACTGGCTTGCCTTCGTCTGATTTACCTCCTCAATGAACTCAAACAGATTTGTCAGGCATGACCTCCCCCTAATGAAACCGTGCTGACTCAGCCCAATTTTACCATGCATTTCCAAGTCCTCTGCAATCTTATCCATAATGGGATCTAAAATCTTACCAATGACTGAGGTCAGGTTGACCAAACTATGGTTTCCTGTCTTTTGCCTCACTTCCTTCTTAAACAGGAGTGTTACATTAGCCATTTTCCAGTCCTCTGGAACCCTACCTGATACCAGTGATTCCTGACCAATGCCTCTACAATCTCCTCAGCTATCGCATTCAGAACACTGAGGTGAAATCTGCCCGATCCAAGTGATTTAGCCACCTTCAGAGCTTTCACCTTCCCTAGCATCTTCTCCTTAGTGATAGCCACAACATTCACCTCTGCCCCCTGACTCATTTGAAGTTCTGGTACGCTGCTGGTGTCTTCCATTGTGAAAACTGATGCAAAGTACCGATTCAGTTCATCCACCGTTTCTTTGTTCCCCATTACTACTTCTCCCACCTCATTTTCCAACAGTCCAATGTCCACTCTTGTCTCCCTGTCTTAACTTTCGATTACCTAAAAACAAATCTCTTACAATCCTCTTTTATATTACTAGTTAGCTTATTCTCATATTTCATCTTCTCCCTCCTTATTGCCTTTTTATTTATCCTCTGCCAGTTTTTAATGGTTTCGCAATCCTCTTGCTTCCCACTAATCTTCACCATATTGTATACTTTTTCTCTTGCTTTTATGCTGGTGCTGACTTCCCTTGTCAGCCATGGTTGCCTCATCCTCCCCTTGGTATGTTTCTTCTTCCTACAAATCAATTTTTGCTGTGTCTCCCGAATTACTCTCAGAAACTCCCACCATTACTGCTCTACCATCTTCCCTGCTAGGCTTCCCTTCCTTCCAATCATCTCTGTCCAGCTTCTCTCTCAGGTCTTTGTAGTTACGTTTACTCCAGTTGTAATACTGTTACATCTGATTCAAGCTTCTCCCACTTAAGCTGCAGAATGAATTCTATCATATTATGGTCACTGCTCTCTAGGGGCTCCTTCACCTTAAACTCCCTAATCAAGTCTGCCTCATCACACATCAACAAATGCAGAATTGCCTGTTCCCTAGTGGGCTCTACGACAAGCTGCTCCAAAGAACAATCTCATAGACATTCCACAAATTTCTTTTCTTGAGCTCCACTATCAATCTGATTTTCCCAGTCCATCTGCATATTGAAGTTTCCCATGATTATTGTAATTGTGCCTATCTTTCATCCCTTTTCTGTCTCCTGATTTATTTTCTTCCCCAAATCCTGACTACTGCTAGGAGGCCTGTACATAGCTCTCGTCAGAGTCTTTTCTCTCTCACGGTTCCTCAACTCTTCCCATACAGATTATATGCCTTCTGACCCTATATTGCTTCTTGCTTTCAATTTAATTTCATTTCTTATCAACAAGGCCACCCTGCCCCTCTGCCTATCTGCCTGTCCTTTTGATAGAACGCATATGCTTGGATATTTAGTTCTCAGTCCTGATCGCCTTGCAGCCAAGTCTCTGTGATGCCCACAACATTGTACCTGCCAATTTCAGTCTGTATTACAAGTTCATTTACCTTATTGCTTATTCTACATGCATTTAAGTACAACACCTTCAGTCCTATGTTGACCACCCTGTTCTCATAGTTGTCCCCTTATCTACCGTGCCTGATTTTAGATTCCTGACCCTTTCCTTACTCTCTGACAATTACTTGTCTGGAAACTTTAATAAATTGGCTGACAGCACATGGTCTGACAGTATACCCTGTTGATTCTTTGTAACTAGCAAGTAACTTGCAAGAATCATAACACTGTGTCTAATGTTATATGTGATTCTGTGATTAGGCAGCACCTTCTCAAAAATCTTAAGTGTATTAAGAATTGCACTAATAACAATTAATGAGAGAAGAAAAAGCAAAGAACTGCTGATGCTGGAAATCAAAACCAAAACAAAATTTGCTGGTCTGTGGAGAGAAAGCAGAGTTAATATTTTGGATGCCATGACCCTTCTTCAGAACACTGATTATAAGGTAACTGGATCTGCATTGAAGGGCTGTAACCTGCAAGGCTCCAGACCAGGTGCTGAAAGGTAGGAAAAGAATGGGGAGTTAGTTTATTTTGGCTGGACAGACACAATGGTGTGAATAGCCTCTTTCCACATCAGAACCTCTCTATGGTTCTATCGTTCATCTATGCTCACGATGCAACTCAGTTACATTTACTAGAAGCTAAATACATTCACATGCGGTAACTTGTCCTCTGCAGAAAATGGGTGTTTGTACAGGCATTTTATTTGAAGTTAAACAAATGCATAAAGATCAATAGCACCCCATTGCAACGTTTCACTCAATGCTGGAAAGCCAGCCAATCAACACTGGTTTCTCAAGCTCATGTGTAAATTGTTGTTCCCTTTGAAACTTGGTATTCTGTAATCTGTCCTGATGAGTGCCAGATGAAAATCTTCAGCAGCATCTTTCCTCACTTTTTTTCTTTCTTATTCATTTGTGGGCTAACTTCCATTGTCCAAGATTTCCCTTGAAATGGTGATGCCATCTTAACCGTACCAGTCTGTGTGGTGTCAGCTCTGAGTGATCCATCAACTTTATTCCTATTCCATTTTTCTGTAATAGATTTGGATACAATTGACTGATCTTGCTAGGTCAAATTAATTCAGATTTCTTTCTCTGGAGGATACTAGTGAACCAGATGGATTTTACCATACAGCATTGTTGATTCCAGGTTTACTAAATTAAGTTGATTTATATGTCCCAGTAGCCATGGTGCTTTTGTTAGTTCAGGCCTCACAATTACTAATCTGGAAACACAGCCACTAAGTTACTTTTTTTTTATTCATTTGTTGCCTGTCCCCAATTGTGCTTGAACTGAGTAGTTTTCTACAGCATTTTTGATGTGAAGAAGGGTCAATGGATGCAATATTAACTTGCCTGCTGTCTTCAAAGATGCTGCCTGACCTGATAAATGTTTTGATCTTTTTCTGAATTAATTTGATTCTCAACAATTATACATTAATGCACCTTGTTTGTGGCCTTGGAATGTTTGTACGTCCCTTCATAATTTCAAAATAAATTAAAAGAAATCAGTCTGGTTGCATTTGCCTCTGACTATTTGTTCTGCCCATTTCCAATGCTGTGCCGATATTGTGTACTGAGCACCCAGTGCACAGCACATTAAGCAGCAGCAGATTCCCAGTGAAGGAGCAGAAACCAATGGTAGCCTGTATAAGCAACATTTATTCAAAAAAAAATGCATAGGAGTGATAACCATCCCATGGCAGAGAACTGTGTTCAGACTTGACATTTAATTCTGAATTTCCATTCTGATGTAACAAAAGACCATCCTGGTCTTGACATTGAGCAATGCATGATGTATCTACATAATACTGTTTCAGCTTAGTAAGTAGAACTATATCCTAAGACTAGTGCACCTCTTAAAAGAAGTGTCATGGCTTTCAAACATTTAACCTTCACTTCAGTAAATAAAATGTTTGTGCACGACAAATCATTGACAAAGATTTGCAACATTTTTTCCTCCTGAAATGGTAATTATTCCCCTTTTACAAATTCCAAAATAGAAGAAGTAAACCAGTTACCATTTTGATATGGGAGGCTAATTGCTTGCTGGATGCCGAGGCGTATTTCGCCTGCTCTTGTTAGGGTAATTTGGTTACTTGTATCACCTTTGATGATTAAAGTTATTGACTGAATGCAACTGTGGTCCAGATTCTGAAAGGAAAAAATAAATTTAAACTGCAAGATCCAAATATGCCAATTCAATTATTCTGACTTGTGTTTTACATTTGTTTTGTGATAAACCAAAGATGTCAAGTCACACAATGTACCAAAACTGAATTTATTACTCAGATGACTTTAGTAAACAGGAAAACATCACTCTTGAATAACATAATTTATTCAACTGTAGTTTTTTTAAACCCATGACTCCAAACTAAAATACCTTTTTATCAATGAAATTATTTTCTATGCTATATGAATCTTGAGCGGATTGGCTTTTAATGCTATTAAAAAAGCACAGATAAAGCAAACAATAGATTGCAGATTAATAAGCATATTGAAAAGAAAGATTTTTTTGGTGAATATTCCTTCTAATCTGACCAACTTTACAGGGAAAGAGAAAGGGATAAAGTTCTTACAGAGAGCAAAAAAATCTCAGAAATATAGCAAATCTCATAGTCATAGAATCAGGAGTTATACAACATGGAAACAGACTCTTCGGTCCAACTCATCCATGCTGACCAGACATCCTAAGTTAAGCTAGACCAATTTGCCAGTAAATGGCCCCTATACCTCTAAACCCTTCCTATACATGTACTTATGCAGATGCCTCTCAAATGTAATTGTACTAATCTCCACCACTTCCTCTGGCAGCTCATTCCATACATGCACCACCCTCTGCGTGAAAAGTTGTACCTCAGATCTCTTCTGAATCTTTCCCGGCTCACTTTAAACCAATGCCCTTTAATTTTGGAGTCTCCCACCCTGGGTAAAAAACCTTGGCTGTTCACCCCATCTATGCCCTTCATGATTTTATAAATTTCTATAAGGTTACCCTTCAGCCTCCCACACTCCAGGCAAAATAACCACAGCCTATTAAGCATCTTGCCTCAGTTCAAACCCTCCAATCCTGACAGCGTCCTTGTAAATCTTTTCTGAACCCTTTCAAGTTTATCTGTAAACATGTGGCAGATATCTTTGAAAAGTTCAGTGCTAGACATTGAGGCAACTATTCAAAATTGTAATTTTTTTTTCATTTTCACTTATTAATAGATCAGTTATGTATTTCAAGCTCTTTTGTCTTTTCTTTTGGATTCTTAGCCTTTTGTTAAAAAAAATTGAGTTTGGCAAAATTCTAACTTTTCTGCGGTAAGTGGTATTGCAGAGTATAAAATATGTTTATGGCTCCTAAGTGTTGTTCTTATGATTTCATGGTGTAATTTTGAAAAATTCCCATGATTCATATCAATAATTTAGGTGGGCCTAAGAGGTCAATGTGCAACGGGACTCAATGGAGGTGACAAGAGTTTTGACTGTCAGCCAAGAACCCAGTGGGCTCTCCATATTGCCTCTTCTAAGGAAAAACAACCAAATTAAATGTCACTCGGGCAGTCAACAGGGCAGCAGCAGGACTTCCCAGTATCAAAAACCCTGGGGCCAAGTCCTGCCTGCCAATCAGAGACCCACAGCGTTAATGCACATGTGTACCACAGGTAAGGAGCTGACTGCTGCCAGTGCAACACCCATCCAAAGACCAGTATCATTATGGACCTGGGCTACAGGTGAGTGATAGCGGTGATGGAACTCATGTTGGAGAGAAGCCGCGGAGTCTTGACAGCAAGGACAGCAGGGCAGTTCTCAGTATGCATCCCACTGCCCCCCAACTTCCTAATGCCTGGTCCCTTGATCAGGTGCTGAATGCTTTTGCATAAGAGACTCCCACAGGTTTGCTTGTGCTCCCCACATGATAAGCACCCCACCTGCCACTGTATTAATACCACTGGTGACAGGGTAAGGCCCACCACTTACATAATCAGGCTGGAGGTAGAAACGTGATAGGGATTGCAACAAATAAAAATACAATTTATATAGATGAGGCGTACAAGATTCTTAACTTGCTAATGATGGAAGTTGTTCATTTAAAAATGTTGTCTGGATAACTAGAGGTATTGAGGAAATACCAGTTATTCAATGGTTTTTAGTCCCAAAATTTAACTAGTTATTTCAATATATTTCAACAAAAAAACAGAGGGCCCAAACATAAATAAGCAATAAGATAGTCTTCGGAATGATTAAGATAAATCAGGAGACAGTATAGGTTTTCATGTGAAGGAAAACTTGATTATAATCTAAAGTCTATATGTTTAGAAGTATGTAGATAGAGTTGAAAGATCTGAATGAAAGAAAACATCTACAAATTTTGAACATCTGCACCAGATCAATGGGAGGGGTAAAATCAAGAACGTTGTAGTTTAATAAGGGAAGGGTACTTGAATTTTGCAGTTATTACTAATGAGTTAAATTTATTGGAGATAAACTGGGAAGTCTATTAAAGGAAGCAATAAGAGGGAAAACCTTGTTCTTGGAAACACTGTTGGATTGCAGCATTAAGCATTTAATCGAGGAATTGGGCATTATTAGACCTCATATTAACTGGGAGATGATAGACTAGGTCAGAGGCCGAACATACTTTTGCAATAACACAGTTGAAGTTAGCTTTAATAATGGAAAAGGGAATGGGTACAATAGAAACATTCAACTTCAGAGCCAAGAAAAATAACCAGAGAAATACAACACAATTTTCAGGGTCTGGTGCATTAATACGGTCACAAAACGAGTCCCATTTAAACTTCTTTTTAAGTGCTCCCCAAGTCTTCTATTGTCACAGCACCCATATTTAGAAGCTTAAAAATTGTAATCTCAAAGTGGGCAACCAGGAGGAAGGTGATGATGTATGAGAGTGGGGCAAGAGAATTGGCCACTGCTGCCTTAGACCTCTCAATCCCAGTTGGAACCTGATCCTAACTTTAGGAAGCCCTGTTCTCTTTGATATACGAGAAAATCCAAATACTGGAAACCATGGAGTGAATCTTATGGGTTTCTTTATGGCTATATTAGTCTCATCAAGTTTCATGTAAGGGTTTTTCAGTATGAGGCCTAGTGAGATCTCTTGCCATATCTTATGAAAATCACCTTATTATCTATCAACCTTGTCCCTATTGCACCCTCTTCACCCTATTCTAACCCCATTCTACCACTTGCTGTACCCACAACAACTAGTCATTGCTGGGATATCCCAAAATGAACCAGCATCCCTGGCACAGGCACTATCTATAAAAGGCCATTGTGCACCCAGCCAAGCACTGTCAAGTCTGACATAGCAGACAAGGGGAAATTGCTTTTCAGGCAGGGACCTGGAGGTCCTGCTGGAAGGAGTGGTACAGAGGAGGATATCCATTACCAGAAGAGGCACCAGTACCAGACTATGTCCGAGGTTGCAATTCAAGTTAAAGCAGTCTCAACCAGACAGAGGGATGCACAGCAGTGAAGGTTAATGACTATTTCCACTCTGCCTGTGTAAATGCGCCATCGTCTCTCTGATACCTCACACTATCTCTGCTACTGTACCCACCTGCCATCAAGGCTCATGTTCTACCACTTTCAACATCTTGCCTGCAACACCTTCTTTTCACTTGCTGTAACTCACCTCAACTCCCAACATGACTAACCATGCATGTCCTCAGCGCTGCCAACTCACTCACTGGGGACACCTCCCTACCTGCAAAAGTGACAGCTGAGCCACCTACTTTCATTTCCCTTTAAAACCTGAAAGAAAACAGCCCAAAATACAACAGAAAGACTGAAGATGCTTGGTGGGCTACTAAAAATTCGGCTCTTTGTCCTCCTCCCCACTTTTATGGGGAGGATCCTGACTCTGACCATCCCAACTGGCTGTATCCAAGACTGTGCCCAAGACCCAGGGCTGGTATTGAAGGCTGCCTTTGACTTAATATGCTGGGAACCTTTGACTGAAGGCTATGTCACTTGGCATGGCTGAGGACTGCTGACAACCGTGACAAGTTTGATACCATTGTCTCTGCACTAAATGGCAGGTTGTAATCTCCAGGTACCTGCCCTGATTTCCATGCCCTGACTTAAGTAAAGATACAGCAAGTTGTTCCCAACATCAAGTTAGGCTTCACTGAACTTCTCACATGATTTTGCCAAATTTCTTGCCATAGCCCAAATCTTCCAGACCTCTAAAAGATTCTTCCCCATGTAACATGGAGAGAAATAATTGGATGGAATTTGCTGAAGCCTGGTGAGTTGACCTTTTCCCTTACACCAGCTAAAGTTGATTTGCTCTGTCAGTTTTTGGAAGCTGATACTTGCATGGTGAAGGCGACATATGAGGCCTTAATGACAATCAGGTAAACAGCATATCACCTTAACATAAGAACTCCTCAACATTTAATTTTCTGTGACAAAATTAACGAACAACTAATGTGTAAATCTAACAGTTTCCCAAAATGAATGAGGCTGTTTGGGCAAAGCTAACAGCAGCACAATGTAAATTGTCCAGCAACATGTGGCAATTCATAATTCACTGTATCTCTTCCTTGCATCAAGTTTCAAAGAGATTTGCAGACTAATTCTGCATATCACACATTGATTTATACAACAGTTCCTGACCCATTATTTAACGATCTGGATTTTATTCAATATTCTTAATGGAATGAATAGATTGAATGCTATTTTTTCGAGACTGCCACATACTCTAGAATCAGGGGTCGCAGTTTAGAAAGAGGGAGATATACAAACATGTTAGATTTAACAACTTTGTATATCGGATGGGGACGTAACCCCTTGAGCTTCCTAACCTATTTTGTTTCTGTAATTATCAATGTTATCATGCTCAGTTTGAAAAATAATGTTTCCCGCATTAAAATAGATGAGGAATGAAATGCAGCTTGAATTTCACTGAATAAGAATTTATCTCTTTCATTACCTTTCAAAATTGACACCCTTACTTAGCTTGAACATTTTAACATCCTTCACAAAAATTCCCTTAAAATGTTTCAAACATAAGCACATGAAACCGTAAAAGTATTTAAAAATATCATCATCATGATTTATTAGTCTAGACTAATTTCCCACAAAATGAAGTAATTCAATTAAAAATAAATTGAGATGCAAGAAGGTGGCAGCAACTTTGGTAATTACCAAATGACCAGGTTACAATGTTTTTGTCAAACTGGAGAAACTTTTGCAAAATGTACTGTCTCAATGAAATACAGTCATACAGAATGGAAACAGACCCTATGGTTTCACTCATCCATGCCGACCACATTTCCCAAATTAAAACAGTCCCATTTGCCTGCATTTAGCCTATATCCCTCCATTCATGTACCTGTCCAAATGTCATTTAAATGTTGTAACTGTACATGCATCTACCACTTTCTCTGGCAGTTAATTCCACATTCGAACCACCCTCTGTGTGTAAAAGTTGCCCCTCAGGTCCCTTTTAAATCTTTCTCTTCTCATCTTAAAATATTGCCCTCTAGTTTGGAACTCCCCTGCCTTAGTGAAAAGACCTTTGCTATTTACCTTATCTATGCCCCTCATGATTTTATAAATCTTTATATGATCACCCCTCAACCTCCTACGCTCCAGTGAAAAATGTCCCAGCCTATCCAGCCTCTGCTTATAACGCAAACCCTCCAATAACATCTTTGTAAATCTTTTCTGCACCCCCTCCAATTTAATAATATCCTTCTTACAGCAGGGTGACCAGAACCAGTGTCAATATTTTACTCACTTATTTTCTACAGTCAAAATCACATGGGTAATTTAAGAGTTAATAGGAATTTTAATCCTGCACTCTAAGATTTTCAATTAAAATTGTTATTCTGTTACCTGACCACAGGGCACAGTCTGTAATGAAACAATGAACTGGTTACTTCTGCGGCTCTTCGCAAAGATGTATTGGCATGTGCCAAGAAATGTAAAAATCCGACCATCAAACGTAGTAAAATGCATGTCACCTGTGACTGAGCATTCAGCTAAAAAGAAGAAGTATTTGTTACATGTTTTTGGGGAAATGTGAAGTCTTCCTCAGCATAAATAGAAAGAACTTGCATTCAAAGATTCATGTCCTCAGAAGATCCCAAAACGCCTCACAGCCAATGAATTATTTTTGAGGTAAACACTGTTGTTAGGTAGCCAAACACAGCATCTAATTTGCACATGGCAAGGCCATAAAAAGCCAGCCTAATTACCATTTGTTCAAACTGATTAAACATTGGCAAGAAATTGAAAGAAGACCACTGCTTTTCTTCAAATATTTCTATTGAATATTTAATATTTATCTGTACAGCAATAACAGGCTTTCATTTAATATTCCATCCAATAACTGGGACTTCTGATAACGCAGCAATCCCTTCACATTGCATTGAAGTGTCTGGATTAGCCATTAAATGTTATGGAAATGAATGTCAACCGTAACCTTCAGACTCATGATGAGAGTGTTACTATTTATTAGAAATGTTTAAGAAAGATTAATTTTCTTCATGGTCAAATTTGAAGGCATGTTTTAAGTATGTCAATTGCTATCAATTTGCTCAATTAGGCAATAATTTCTTGAAACCAAACCAAATTATTATTGTGTTAAGCAGGTGCACAAAATCTGACAAAAGAAACATTTTACCTGGACAATCGTTGTCTGTACAGTTCCAAACACCACCACTACAAATGCTGCGAACATCAAACAAGCTAGTTATTGTTTACAGTTAAACACTGTACTTAACTTACAATATAGAAATATACTGAACAATTTCATGAATTATTTACATTAGGAAGAACGAAAAGTATTTACTGACTGCAAAAATAACAGTTTAATAAATTGCCCAACCAATACAAAGTTAAGGTAAAGTTGTTGTTGCTGTTTCTCATCTTTAGTATTTCAGAAACTACTTTTGAGTAGGTTAATCTTCTGTACAGAAACGTACCACATATTGCAGCCCTCCTGCAAATGAGATCCTATTGGATAGACTGTACCATGGTATATACATGGGCAGGTAGATACTGATATGCAAGTGCCATTCTCCATGACAAGTCCTAAACAAAATGAGAAACATATACACAAAATAATTCATGTTTCATGTTCTTTGTCAGTCAGCAGAGTGACACTACTGGAAAATCTACATGCCCACATCCTTCTGCTTTGTTATTCCTTCTCAGATAGAACAACTGTCATTATTTGCATAAATCATTTTACAATTGTGTTTTACAAAATGTTAAATTTGATAGTATAAAGAAATATATTGTGTCTTTCAATGCTGGTGCTGTACACCTTGTTAAAGATCATGGTTCAAAAGTTAGCTAGTTCCTTCAATGCTTTCCCCTAACCAGTAGATGTTGAGTACTTTTATTTGGGCAGTGCCAATCATTTCCAACTGGAAATGGTTGAAAACTCAAACAAATCTAATCAGCTTGTAATTCACTGCAGGTTCATTAGTATTTGGAAGAAAGAAAAATCTGGGGACATAGTCTCCCCAGTGACCACAACTGGCAAAAGGTAATTTTTTACTCTGGTGACCCCTTAGGCTTATTTGTATGTTGCCATGTGTGAAATATGCCATGAACCAACACAATTGGATAGTGTTTTAAAGCAACTGCATTTTAAATATACCTTTAAAATATACCTTGATATGTTTAACAGTAGGAACTAGTTGGAGCTTGATTGATACAACTAAAATTATGGATCATCACAAAAAAAAACATTTTTAATCATGTTATCAAAAAAAGTAGCTTTTAAAAATGTGAAGAACAATTCCTTAGTTATTTTTGTGAATGGTAGTCAATTTCTTAACAATTTTAAGTAAAATATAATCAAAAGCTTTTAAAACTTTCCTATTTGTGGCTTTGCAGCCAAAAGTTCCAGCTTAGCTTTGGAGCCTCCTTGAGGACCCATAAATTATCACCATTAGCGCAAATTCCCAAAGGTGATTCATCCATCTCAGGTCACGAACTAATTTGGGGGAGTGCCTATTTTTGACGGTATATTCTTTTAGATCACAAAAAACTCGAGTCATATTGAACACTTAAAATTCCACAGAATTTGCGCTGGTCACACATCAATTTTGGCAGAATTGGACAGAGGAAACAAGTGGAACTGAGTGGAAACTCCATTCTACTGTAAATTTTCACCATTACATATTTTTACGACTGAGTTTAAAAAAAAGTTTGAAAGTGAAGAGACATATTACTAGCACTAGTAATTATAACTGCAGTTTTTCCCTTGCATTACAATATTGTAATTCACTGTTTTAAGTTTCCTCGTTTAAGTCCATCTGCTTTTAAAATCAGTCAGTCAACAGGATCCCTTTTGTGTTCAGAGATTTTTCTGAAGATATTTTATGAAGAAGGGTCTTGACCTGAAACGTCATCTTTCCTGCTCCTCTGATGCTGCCTGGCCTGCTGTGTTCCTCCAGCTTCACACTGTGTTACCTCCCTTTTGTGTTCAATGCCCGTAGTTTTATTGTTTTTTTTTGTCAGGGGACTTCACTAAAATCTCTTACTTCCTCCACCCCCTGCTCCCATCAGGCCCAATCTAACCACCATTAGATCTTTTTGTCCTCACTCCTTTAGGCCTCTGATTCCGCTTCCAATATTGAATCCTCCAACCTTCCTCTCTGACCTCAGACACCCACAACTCTCCTGGCAACTGCAGTGCACCTTCTTACTCTCCTCCATCAGATCATCCCCTCCCACCCTCAACACTGGCACGACCCCTAATCCACCTTGATCAGTTATTCCATCCACCAGTCAGGTTCCCCCCACCCTCTGGCTGACCCATGCCTCTCAATCATTGACCATGTACCACACCCTCCCAACTGTATGTGCATCCCATTCCCAGCGCAGTTTTAGCTACTGCTGCAGCTGTCAATACCTGACAGCATTCGCTTTCTGACTATAGACCCAGGCTTTTAATCACATTGGGGCTGTAGATGGAGAATGGATCTGTAACATTGGAGACACCCTCCGAAGATAACGCTCCATGGATTGTGAGGGATTTCCAAACTGCAAGTTCTGCACAGCTTTCCAATCAACTTAGCAAGTCATTTCAGTAAAAGTTCTACTCTTAAGTATCTGAGGCCACATGTTCAAAGAGGTGTAGAAATTAAAAATAATCCTTACTATTGAGTGTTATTAATGTATTGCCCAATGCAGATTCACTGGCACAAATCCCCTTACAGCAGCATCAGCTGGGTCAACAAATGAAAGCAGTCACGAAAAATTTGAAAACTCAATGTGCATCTCACATCTCATTTGAAGTATCTTCCCCTACTTTAGAGTTTTGCAAATAAGGGACCTATCATCTAAGCTAGGGACTACATAGAATCCCTACAGTGCGGCAACAGGCCCTACAGTCCAACAAGTCCACAGCGACGCTTGGAGCATCCCAACCAGACCCATCCCCCTATAACCCACCTAAGCTACACATCCCTGAACACTACAGGCAATTTAGCATGGTCAATCCACCTAACCTGTGCATCTTTGAACTGTGGGAGGAAACCGGAGTACCCGGAGGAAACCCACTCAGAGTTGGGGAGAATGTGCAAACTCCACACAGACAGTTGCCCAAGGGCGGAATTGAACCTGGGTCCCTGGTGTTCTGAGGCAGCAGTGCTAACCACTGAGCCACCATGCCCAAAAACCCAAACATTTTTCTACCTATGGATATTTACAAAAGTGATGAAATTGTCTTACCATCTGGACAGTAACAACCATCTAGGCAGTGCAGACTACTCCCCAAGCATTCCTTTTCAAATGTGCAAGTGGGTGGGCAGCAACTAATACAGTCACGGTGAACAAAACTATCGTCACACTGATCAGCTGAAATACAACACAAAATCATCTCAAAAACTTTGATGCAATACAATTTTAATATGTAAAATAAAAACTAACTATGATAATGTGACTTACATTGCATCAATCCACAGTATTGTGTTGTATTGCAAAAATATCATCCTATCAGCTATGTGAGACATTAAAATGATCCACAGATTTTCCAATTTTTCTCCTTCCTATATGAAGGAACTCTCCATTTATGAAATACTGTTCTATCTTTATGAATGTAAAAAAACAGTTTATGCTACAAGAGCATCAAGTTCATTCTATTCAGGTAGCAGTGGAGAAGATGATCTCCAAATCTGGAATGAAGAGGCTTCATAATATCGTTGAACCAGCAGAACATCTTGAAACATGCAAATCAAGATTTAACCGTTAAAGGTGCTGAGAAACATATTAACCTTTCAAAACAAATCATAATCAAATGGGGAAACTGCCATCCTTACCTGGTCTGGCCTGCGTGTGATTCCAGACCCACAGCAATGTGGTTGACTCTCACTCCACCCTCTGAGCAATTAGGAATGGGCAATAAATGTTGCGTAGTTAGTGATGCCCTCATCCCATGAATGAATAAAAAAGGGATGCCCTTCAAAATAAATCACTCTATACCAACGTATTTTATAATTTATTAGAAAAACATTATCTATGGTATATAGACCTATATGGTTTGGGTCTGTTCTCAGATCCATGCTAGGGTTATTTGGCCAGTCCATGCTCAAACTGAGAAGCCAGAAAATTGATAGAAGTTGGTCCTCAAGCCAAATTCACACACAGCTCACCTGACAGAAAACATTAATGTGGAGCCGTCTGCCTTGCTGGGGGGACTGGAGTGGGCTACATGGTGAGGATCAATCACAACTGCTGCTGAAGATTTTAGAGGCATGTCTATCCAACTCATCACTAAGTTGCTGATAGGAACTTTCAAAAAGCCGTAGCCCTAATTTACACATTTCAATTGTTCCAATGCTGGTTTTAGGCACCCAAACAAAGACTCCACAAATGTGGACCAAACATTTACAGAGATTGACTACAGACCAACCAACTGCTAAACTGAGCCACTTTTATGCTTGAGAAGTTTACAATAACTCAGATAATATTAAAGACGTATGCAAAATCTCTCCTCTACTTAGTATACAAGTTTTTACAAATGAACATAAATAAATATTTCAGCAAAATAATTCAGAATTATTCATTTTATTTAATGGTTTATGGTAATATATTAGTGTACCTTAATATTTCAAAGCTGAGTTTAGAAACAGTAAGTACAAAACTTACTACAAGCGGGAAAATCGTCTCTCCAGTCCATTAAAGGATAGCCTGCATGGGAGCATGCCCTGGCGTACTCTGTAATTGCACGACAATGTGTTTCACTGTCGTCCATCCTGTTTCACAGAATAATACATTTATTTCCTACTTAACTATTTTTATGTCAATCAAACAAATTATTTTGAAATATTCACTAATGAGACATACATTCTTTTTTTCTTATGAAACAGGTGTAATTTTTGATAGTTTATTGAGGAAAGAGAAATCTAATGAGTTAGGAATTTAATACTTACATACACAGGTCATTGATACAACTGGCAATATAGGGATTAGGCTGAACATATTCACGACAAGTAAAGAAGGGAAACCCCATCAGAACTTCACACTTTGCAATGATATCCTAAATTAAAATTTTAAAAAGCAACATTAAATAAAATCTCAGCATTACTTTCTAAAACAAATTTACAAAGTTAATATATCATGCTATAATTTCCATGGTACTTAGCTTATAGGATAGGTTGACAAGTTAACTTGAGTGTCAGAATGCAACTCTAGATTATAAAATATAGAATAAGTCAGCATCCATGACTAAAACTCTTTCTAATCTTGTTGCTGCACTTTATTTATCTTCATAAAACAAACAATTTTATTTTATAAATTATTTTCTATATGCACAGTATGTAGGCTACCACCATGTTCATTCCTGTGCTTATCAACAGTACTCTTCTTGACTTTGATTGCACAAGCTTCAATTTAAAGCATTTAGGAATGAAATCAAACAGACATTTTTCACACAAAGTGAAAATCAAGAACACCGTTTCTCAAAAGTCTGTGATTGCTGTGTTAATTAAAATTTTCAAGATTCAACTCTATATTTTTTGCAAGCGTACATTAAGACATTTCAAACAAAGAGAGATAAAAGCGATCCGCAATGGTCTATTTGTGTGGCAGAACAAGCTCAAAGGACTCAGTAGTCTCATATGTTTTCTACTTTTCCTCTTAGCCTTCCCATTATCATTGATATAATCATATTATCTATATTTTCTCATCGCTTTCAATGCTTGATATCATCTTATTACTTCTACATCCTACGTCCTATATTCTTTTATTGTCTTTTTTATAATAGATTCCCCAAACTGTTAGTATTTTCAATTTACATTAACTTGTAAATTATTAAAAGTGCTAACATAAGAGCCTCACATGAAACCAATCTGGATTAACTAATTAACCTTTTAAAAAAAGAGATAATTTTATCCATATCTTTCAAGATCAATCACCCTAATGCCAAGATATTTTATAATTTGAGGGAAAATAATCTGGAAATTAAACTCAAATATTACCAAAGTTGGAGTCAATTCTTGGAACAAGGCTTGGTGTCATTCAGCCAATGCATGTCTAAACCAAGAGGCCTTGGGCTACATCCACAGCCTGTTCATCTAAATCAGGATATCAATGTGGAGCCCTCTGCCTCGCTGTAAGTTACTGAATGGGGGGAGTGGTTCCAGCTATACCATGAAGACAAACCATAAACAAATCTAAAATAACCTGCCCAGCTCATCATTGATTGATGTACTGACTGAATGCCTTAACAGGCTGTGTGCACCTAATTTGGTGCAGAATGTCTCTTTTATGGTGTCCTAAGATAAAGACTCAACAATTTTAGCTGTGTGCCAAACATTGTGGTTCTTGAGTCTGAATCTATAAAATATTTACAGTAGTCAGAAGTCACATGACACCAGGTTATAGTCCAACAGATTTATTTAAAATCATAAGCATTTGGAGCACTGCTGCTTCACCAGGTGACTTTGTGAATTCACTGAAATCTTGTGATTTTAAATATATCTGTTGGACTATGACCTGGTGTTGTGTGACTTCTAACTTTGTCCACTTTAGTCCAACACCGGTATCCCCACATTATATTTACAGTAGAGAGACTATTGTATACCTTCAAGATAGAAACGCAAAGCGATTGTTCCATTGACAAAAAATTGATTCATTGTCTAGAAATACGGAACTTGAGAATTGCTGAAAAAGCACATTTTGTCAATGTTATTGTCTTGCACTCACCAGGACAGCTTGCAAGAATACAAATTCAAGGGGAAAACAAACATTCATATGCTGGCTATTTGGCAAGTGGACTCTGATAGGTGGAAGTATTGCATGAAGAATCCACTCATTAATGATGGTTGGCAGCAGCCAAGCTCTGTTAAATTTTAAACCAAGCAGGTTTACTTTCAACAGTAAGGACATTACCCTGAAAATGAACCAGTGAATAAATGTATTTTTTTTTATAGAGTTGAAATAGATACAGCATTTAAATGGACAGTGTATCTACGTGTTCAATCTGTACTGAACAGGACCCTTTACATTACTATATTTCAATACATGCAAGTGTGCCACATTGCAAGCCCAACCGACAATTGGAAATTGCTGTCAGTGTATTTTCTCACACATACAAGATTATCCAACAATGTTGTCCAACTTCAGAACCAAATCTAACGTTAGACAGTGGGCTGCAAGTTTTAGAAGGTTGAGTACAGTCAGTACCTTGCTCATTGCAGACAGTTGAAGGGACATGCTGGCATCACACCAGCAGTGAAATTCATATATCACATCATTCATTCACATGATAGGGTAGAATATCTTTTCGGCTTGGAAGCAGCATCCTGTTAATGACTAACACCATTCATGTTGCTACTGCATAACAGTAGTGTGAAACAGCTAGTCTCACTTCTTGCTCAAAATGTTGAGTTGACTTCCAGGGTAATCTGAGTCAGACTGGGCACATTCTAAGACCAAAAGCAATGAGCTTAGGGCCTTTCATGAGTTTGCCTGATGTACATTGAGAAATAAGTTTAATCGGGGCAACTATTATTTACAGGATAGCTTTGACATGTCCTATTTCAACATTAGGTTTGCACTGTGAATGAATAACTCAGGCTATGTACAATGTGAATAAATAACTTAGTCCACGTGCTGACGTGATGCCAGGTATGCAAGCCATACATCCAAAGGTCAGGTGGATTGCATCAAACAGCATGTCCCTTCAGCTTTTCACAACATGCAAAGTATTGACTGTAATCAATCTGCCAACCCTCATTAAACTCACAACAGTGTCTAACATCAGATGTGATTTCACAATTGGACAGTATTTATTGGATAATCCTGAATGTGCAAGGAATTACATTGACAACCAATTTAGGATTATCAGTCCGTTTTACAGTATGGCACACTTGTATGTACTGGTACCTCTAGACATATATACACAAAAGCCCTGTTCTTGGCAAACAGGAAGAATATGTATTCACACTCCACCTGTTTCAACTCACTAAAATAGGTGACAGCATTTGCTGTTCATTTCTCATGGTCTGACCAATCAGAATTAGCCAATTTAGTTTAAAATTTAAACAAAGCCTGCCTATTAATTGTCAATCAGCATTAATGAATGCATTCGCCATGCCAATGCCTCTACCAATCAGAATCCACTGGCAACTGATCAGTACTCTCACGGAATGTAAACATTGGCATCCCCATTAAATGTTTATTCTTGTGAAATGTCCTGATGAGTGCAAGATTAAAAATTTCAATTAAATTTATCTATCATCAGCAATACAAAAGATAAGTTAAAATTTGATCATATCCATCTATTCAGAAGTACGTTATAGATCCAGAAGTATAGTTCTTGGCCAGCCAATACCACAGCGATTATTTAACTATCTTTTTTACTTCATAAATCTTTGAAGTACATTATTGAAACAGAGTAATTGCCATGTTTACCCACAGTCACTATACTACAAAAGCTTAGGGAAATGTTTTGAGCTGTGTCAAAATGATAATGGCTATATAAACTAACATTTTGCATTTATGCAATTATATTCGAAATCGTAATTTTTATGTCTAGCAGATTGTCACCAATACAATAATTTAGAAAACACTAACACTAATTACAGCTCCTTTGCCTCGACATGGACTATGGAAATCAAGTAAAACAGATGCACAAGGGGCATCAGAAGGAGATTGTGACATCCAGCTGTTTCCGAAGATAGCAACATTTTCCGTCAGCATGCCTGAAAAAGTCAATACAATAGTATTAGCTTAATTCACTGATTTACAAATCTCCCTGTGTGAGGAACCTTCTGTAAATAAACACACAAACATACACATTTGGAGCAGAAGTAAACCATTCATCTCCTTTAGCCTGGGTAACCATTTGATTAGATCAGGGATGATTTGATTGTGGCTTCTACTTTCTTGTCTATTCACTAACCCTTTACCAGTCAAGAACCTATCTACTTTCAAGTTAAAAATATTTAATCTGCTTCCACTGTTCTCTGGGGAAGAGCTTCACAGACTAACATGCTCTGGGAGAAAAAGAATTCTCCTCATCTCCATCTTAAATGGACTACCTCCTGTTTTTAAAATGTGTCTCCTACTTCTAAGCTCTCCAGGGGAAACATCTTTGCAGGATTCACCCTGTTATATTCATGGGATTTTCTATCTTTCAGTAAGATCACACCTCATTTCCAAACTCCAATAGGTACACATACATGCTGCCAGACCTGCTGAGCTTTTCCGGCAATTTCTGCTTTTGTCTCCAATATTCTACCCTTACACTATTAGCTCGTATTTTGTGCAACCTTTCATGTGACACCTTGTTAAATATGTTCTGAAACTCTAGCTACAGCATTTTGGCAGGTATCCCTTTATCCATGATGCTTGTTACTTTCTCAAAAAATTACAATAAGTTAGGTCAAACCCGATTTCCCTTTCACAAAACATTTAGATCTGCCTGATTACATTGAGATTTTCTATTTGCCATGCTATAACTTCCTTAAGACTATATTCTATCATTTTCTCTATGACAAATGTTAAGTTAACTGGCCTGTGATTTTCTGCTTTCTTCTCCCTCACCCACCAAGCCCCTTTCTTTAATAGAGAAGTTGCATCTTATGGGATCTGTCCAGGATCTAGTGAATTTTGGAAAATTAAAACAAAAGCATTTCAACAGCCACTCCTTTTAAGACCCCAGGATGAAGTTTATCACGACCTGGAGACCTATCATCTTTTAGTTCTAATAGTTTTCGTCATACTTTTCCCTGATTAATTAATTGTTTTAACTTCCTAGTCCTTTTCATCTCCTTATCCACAATTATTTCTGGGATATTATTTGTACCCTGTACAATAAAAAAAATGCAAGATATCTGTTCAATTATTTGGCAACTTCCATTGTTTTCATTACCAATTTCCCACAATCACTTTCTGGAGCACTAATGGGCATTTGCTTCACTCATTTCCTTTTTAAATATCTGTAGAAACTCCTATTGCCTGTTTTTTATATTTTTAGCTAGCTTTCTCTTGCACTTTCATTTTTCTCTTCTTATAACTTCCTTAGTCATTCATTACTTTTTTTTATTTTTGTCCAATCATCTTGCCACCATTTTTTACCAATTTGCACATATTATTTCCTGAAATGGCAAGTCTGAAGTTTAGCCACTTCCACAAAGGAAGGATGTTCTCACTCATTGCACTTCTGATAAATAATATTTCACAACACTTTTCCAAGCATTCAACACAAGAGTGATAACAGGTTACATGTTTACCTTCCACAAACGAGGATCTGAATGCGGATTTAGAAAAGGGGAAAGCATAACTTCCAAAATGTACTTACTATAACTTGTATTGAGATCGTCAGACATATCTCCATTGAAATTACCACATAGGCCACAGGATTTGCCTTTATGTTCTTCTGTGAGCTTCATGTACACACCAGAGAATCCATCCCAAGCTAAGGAAAATCCAAAAGTCGTTTTCACAAGAATGTAATCAGCTAGCCTCTCAAAGAATGCATGCCTAACAGTCTGAGGCAACAGTAATCTAAAAATAAAGATTTTAAAATATTATGAATATTATAAAGGAATAATACTTCTAATTAGCCATAATAGTAAATTAGAACAACTAAAGAGCACGAATAGAGTAAGAACATGGTCTCATTCTCTGAACATCTACAGGCATAATTATAAAAAAAGCAATGTTTCACTTTTCAATTTCTACCATTAAATCATTCAATAATTCAGTGATTTATATTGAGCATTACAACATTTAACTGTCATAATATCAGTCTGCTAATGTGACATAGCAATTTGATATCGTCAAATGCTGTTGCAAAGCAGTGGATATTGTCAGGATCTACTAATGGTCTACAGTAGCTGACAACATTTCCAATTATGTTATTTGGGTATAGTCTACAGCACAATCTGAAAGGTCTGTGGGCCTTTTAGAATGGTCACACTGTAAGACCTCAAAGGTCACAGCAAAGAACCCACAAATTAAGCAAATAAACCTGACATAACCTTTACTTCCAAATGTTTACCCTTCAATTAGTTATAGCATTTGTGGACTCAGTTGATTTCTTTATACCAGGATCAAAAAAAAACAGAGAACTTGGCAATGGTGCCAAGAAATGTTCCCTTGAAGCTGCATGGCCACACAACCAGTCCCAGGGTCCGCCTATACCAATAGGTGTGCAGTTTCTCCAACCATTGTTGAGCACAGACTTGGGATGTCTGCACAGCAGCTGGAGAAATTGAAAGGAATATAGCGGCCAGATAAGTGATAGAGGGTTTAGAGTAGGTCAGGGTGGATGGGAAATACTGAATACAGTGGGATTGCAGAGGAGATGGATGGCGTTGGGGGGAGGTGGTTTGGTGTTGGGTCCAAGGGAGGGAGGATTGGAGTATGTGTGGTATGAGTGGAAGTGGAAAAGGTCAAGTCCACAATGAGGGGCGCGGGTGGGTGTTGTCAATCTAAAAGCAGAGGCAGGGGTGTTACGTCTGGCACAGGGGAAGGGGAGTTGGGGCCTGACGGAACAGAGGTGGTTGTTAGCTCAGATTGAGGTAGGTGTAAGAGAGCTGGGGGACGAGTATTTGGGGAATGGGTGTGCGGTATGTTAAGGGTCAGCGGAATAGTAACTCAGGAGTTACACTAAGTTTTTAATAGTGTAACCTTTCCTAAGTAACTATTTACTTAAACACTCTGAATTCTCTGATTTAAATGGATGCTGACAGTTGGTTCCAAATGCAGAGGAATTGCCCAGGGGAATCTACAAATTCCTGGGCAATTCCCTCAGGGTTTGCTACAATGAGGATTTTTACAGGATCCATGTGAGCAACTGGTCAACCCTTCAGAAATGATTATCTGGCCATTGACAAAATCTGGGCCATTGCTTGATATCAGTCCTCATTGAACAACAGTAACACGATAGTTCAGGCAGGCTCTTCCACTTTTGCTGAAACAGGCATTCAATTGTATTTTATTAAAATAAATTTAAATAAATACCGAAGCCAGAAATAGTCCTACTTCTCATCTGACCCATCATCCACTGTCATTTGGAACTTGAGAGAAAATTGCTCCCAGAATATCTAATTGCCAATGTGTATATCCTCTATAGGCTCTAATAATTTGTTTCTGTGTAACAGTATCAAACAAATGCAGCTATATAAAACTCTGGTTAGACCACATTTGGAATATTGTGTTCAGTTCTGGTCACCTCATTATAGGAAAAATGTGGAAACTTTAGAGAAGGTGCAGAGGAGATTTACCAGGGTACTGCCTGGACTGGAGGGCAGGTCTTATGAGGAAAGGTTGAGGGAGCTAAGGCTATTTTCATTGGAGCGAAAAAGGATGAGAGGTGACTTGATAGAGGTGTACAAGATGATGAGAGGCATAGATAGAGTGGATAGTCAGAGACTTTTTCCCAGGGCGGAAATGACTATTACGAGTGGGCATAATTTTAAGGTGATTGGAGGAAGGCATAGGGAAGATGTCAGAGGTAGGCTCTTTACACAGAGAGTGGTGGGTATGTGGAATGCGTTGCCGGCAGTGGTAGTGGAGTCAGATACTTTAGAGGCTTTTAAGCGACTCTTGGACTGGCACATGGAGGATAGTAAAATATAGGGTATGCAGGGTAGATTGATCTTAGAGTAGGATAATAGGTCGGCACAACATTGTGGGCCAAAGGGCCTGTACTGCGCTGTATTGTTCTATGTTCTATGTTCTAAAGCAGATACTAGGCCATGAAAACACGAGGAAGTTCAGTAAAGTTTACAGTTGCATAGCTACCGAACAAAGTGGGAGGGCCCTCCTAACAGCACTCCCTGCCACATATTTCACTATTTTATTGTTTGTCCCCCTAAGCCCTACCCTGAGAATACCCAGAAATCCATGATAGTGATGTTTGTAAACACCAAATATCATACATAAATAGTAAGACAAAAGTTTGTGACATAAAGTGATCATTTTGATTGTTGTGAAATTTTACAAATCATTTTAATACATATTTATACAGTAGTAAGTTTCCTTCTCTCTGCAATATATATATAGAAATTAATTTTTTATACACCATTCACCTGATTCCTCCTTTCATAACTGAATGACCCAGAATAGTTATTTTTTCTTCATTTGGAAAAAATAAGCTTATAGATCTTGAACAAGAATAGTGTGAAGATGGACATTCACCGCTGTTATGGACCTGAATGTATAGAAACAATAACAAAACAATGAGACCAAGGCACCTACGTGACTAGACGTTAATGCAGTAATTGCTCTGATGTACCCAGTTGCATCATACCTCTACCATGTACTGAGGCTGTGTCGCATGACAGTCTTTAGCAAGAATATATGAGCATTTTCCAGGAAAATAAAAATAGAGGCCATCAAAGGTTTCAAAGTGGTATTGGCCCCATGATCTGCATATTCCTCCTCTATCCTTGCCAAGATTTGGAACTAAAGAAATAAAAGTTGTACCATTTGATTACATGTTTCTTTTATTGAGACTGAAACATATTTTTTGCATTGGACCAAACACTTACTTTAAACAACCCCTCACTTATTATCGGGAGAGCAGACTGCATAAACTTAAAAGGGTGATTCACATAGACTTATTAAATATATAGGTTTCAATAACAACTGTACACAAATCATGTAATTTTAATGAAGCAAATGTAGCTTTGCTGCTATTAACACAAGATTTTCACTTCTTCGCTGAACCTAGAAAAGAGTTGGAAGCCATACACAAAAGTGGCTTCATTACTATAGTAATGAATTATTAACTAAAACAGTCTTTAATTTGTTTTCAAAGAATAGCAAGAGTTCTAAAACATCTTCTGAATATATGTTCTGATACTGACCAGTCTGACAACGACTACTATTAGCTTGACGTTCACTGCAGTCACATGTATCATCCCCATTGCAAAAGCCACCATTGAGACAATCCTGTGAACAAACACCTGGAAGTCCAAAAAAATTACTCACTTGTGTAGAAATTAACAATAATAATGTTGTTTTTTAATTCATGTAGTGAAGATAAATTCCAATACATTTTAAATTATTTCCACAATGTGTTATGATCCTGTCAAATGTTACTCCTCAACAAGATAGATCCTAGACTGAAATCTAACTTGATAGGTAATGTTTTGTTTTTCTTTATTTAAAGTGGTGGTCTTTCACTGAAACACAAATTACAATCCTGCAGATTTAGTTTAAATAATAAACCAGAAGCTCATCATGCAAAATAAATGAAGATGAAATAGAACAAATCGACGATCCAAAATGACACAATTTGAAAGATTTCAAAAACACAGCAAAATAAAATTCCATCTATCTCAACACCATTACAGCACAGTATTCAAATACTAGAGAGAGCTCCCTCATATGTCAAACCTATAGGGTTGACTTAACGCTTTTTTTCAACTCCTGATCTTAAAAGCTTGATAGCCTTTTTCTTGATTATTCACACAACTGAGCTTATATTTTCTCAGCTTCAAATAACTCCTACAGGGTTCTAAACAAACACTTCAGATCTGGAAGTTTAAAATTAAAACCTTACACTGAGGTAACCTATTTCCTATCTGTTCTGAACTAACTCCTTTCACCTCTTTAAAGTTTGAGAAGATTTGTAGCTCGGGTTGTGGATGAGGTTGTAGACATGGTCACCGAGCCGGTGGGTTTGGTTGCAAATGTTTCGTCATCCTGCTAGGTAACATCATCAGTGCACCTCCGGTGAAGCATTGGTGTTCCATCAGTAGCAGCTGAAGGGTGGTTGTCAGTTTGTGGGCTACTCTGATACCTAGGGGTCTGAGTAGTCTTGTGGTCATCTCTGAAATATCATTGATGTATGGAAAGGTGATAAGTGATTCTGGTCATGTTGTGTCTTCCTGTTCTGATCTGTTTTGGAGGTGATGGGGTATCAGAGTAGCCCACAAACCAACGCCTACCCTACGACAGCTACTGATGAAGGATCCCACATCCAAACCCAGCAAAACTGGGGTAATATACAAAATACCATGCAAGGACTGTGAGAAACACTGCATAGTCCAAACCAGAAGAAAACTGACTATATGGATACATGAACACTAACTAGCCACCAAGAGACACAACCAATTCTCACTTGTTTCACTAAACACGGACAATGAGGGACCCAAATTTGACTGGGACAACACATCGATAATCTGACAAGCCAAACAGAGACACGCCAGAGAATTCCCAGAGGCCTGGTAGTCCAACTGGAACTCCATCAACAAACACATTGGTTTGTACACAGGGTCTAATTCAATGAGAAACAAAACCGGAAGTAAAACCAACCACCCTAGCAAACTGAGGCATATAAATAACAAGCAGGACAGAACACCAACGCTTCACTGGAGGCGCACTGACGATGTTACCTAGCAGGGTGACAAAACGTTTGCAACCAAACCACCGGCTCAGTGAGCACGTCTACAACCTCATCCTTTCACCTGTTCTTACTGTTCTTACATGTAACCACAGACAGATCTTCTGTGAACTACATCAAAAGCTTAGCCTAAGAAAAAATCATTTCATGATTCTCCTGAACTAAAGCCAAGCTAATGCCTTTCAATATTTGCTCTCCCCAATCTTAAAACTCTCAAAATACAAATAAACTCACAGTATCAATTTAGGAAGGTCTCAGACACCTGTTCTCTTACACATACTAGTTTAAATATGGCTCCAGAAAGACTGATATGTTTATTAAAATTTTTCATGCATGAAGAGCAAAACCCACATGTTACTAGCTCAAGATCTAAATTCCAAAGCAAATGATATGAATATATATAAATAACAAATGTCTGTCATCATATTTGCTTTAGATCTTTAAAAAATAAATAATCGTTGAGTTATATTTATAACATCAACAATAATTTGTTTGGCAACTTTTGTTCTATTTCGCATGCGTAAAATACACATTGGCAATGGCACTCACATATACTGCAGTTAGCTAACTTTAAAATAGTTAACATCATTTAATGATAGAATAAAGCTAAACAAGTTTATGATTTTGGTTTTAAAAAAAACAGAAGAATGGCAAATGCTGGAAATCAAAACAAAAACAGAAATTGCTGGAAAATCTCAGCAGGTCTGGCAGCATCTGTGAAGAAAAATCAGAGTTAAAGTTTCAGGTACAATGACCCTTCTTCAGAACTGACTCAGTTCGGCTGAGATTTTCCAGCAATTTCTGTTTTTGTTTACGCTTTGCACCTTTCAAAAGAAGGTGCAGAGCAAAGGACAGTTATTTCCCCACAGAAAAAAGAAAGAAAATCAGAAGATAAATTTCACCTCACACCACTAGAATGCATTACATTTTTTCTGAAGAACCATTTCCATAGATTTATAAAACAATGCTTAATACTATTTTGCAGTCTCAAAACCAAACTATCAGGGCTATCTCCTTAAAGTGACCCAACATTGATCCAATGACAGTTTCCTCCTGTATTATTTGTCATAGCACAATTATATTTCCTGAACCAAACTAATGCTTCTCACACATGCATTTGGTAACACTCTACAGGACAATTAAGGGTATGACTGGTTTTATAATACAACTTTAGCTACTGTATAAATCAGATACCATTTCATTCCAATTTTGAAGTAACAATCCAAGTAGGCAACCTTGTTGTTTAATATTCATGATTATTTCAAATGCTCTTATTGCTCTGTATGTACCTCTGTAATCTGTACATCAGAAAAAAATGAAAACATAAGGGGACCATCAAGCCTATCATGATATTCCAGTTCCTCTTGTTACTTACTTTATTATAAGTGGCCTTGCAGATTTGTAGTACTACTTATCATGGCAGCTGACTCCAGCGAACATTAGGCATGGTCTGGCTTCCTCTGACAGTTCTGCACTATGAAAGAGCTGTCAGAATGGAAGTATGATGCCACATTTCAGAAGAAACTCTGATCAGAATTTTCTCTCAAAAATGTAAAGCTCCCTCTTTTCATTAAAAGAAGAGATGGCGTGAGACTACCTCTCCTTGGAAAAGCTACCCCAACGTTTCAGGACAAGTCCAAAGTCAAGTCTCAAGTGAACTCTGAAGAGTAACGGAATGACATCCTACTGCACAAATCATCTAAATTGAGCTTGTTGCCATTTGTAGTGTAATCTGTGTTTAAAATTTGCTCAGGTAGTTTATGAAATGCTCCCATCCCCCATTGACCTGTTACCAACTTAAGTAGAATTCTTTTGTTTTCACAAGTGCTCTGAAATAGATAGTACTCAGTCAAAAGAACATTTCATTCTGCAATATTAAGAATGCAGCAATTTGCTTTTCTTCCTGCAGCAACCAACCCCAAGCTAGTACAACAATCTAATTATCCATGTGTCCCTACTGCTCTATTTGTACCTAGGAAAACTGTTTAGCAACATTGTGTTGTTTATTTTTGCTCAGTAGCATCTCTCAAGCCAAAATGATGCTTCTTCCACATATTTCTGACTTCACAACACTGTACAGAGTTTCTTCATAAAAAGAAATATATTCAGAAAGTTAACATTGTAGAGTCATACTAAGTCACTATGGCAATGTTTTGAAGTCAAACATTATGGAAATAGGAAAGGCAAACATTTCCTCTTCACAACAGAAGAACTGAAGCTGTTGCTCACTGATTAATATGGGAGATTCAGACCAATGCTGCTCACAACAAAGTAACTAATCAGGAGTGCTGACTATCACCCTTTCTGAGTTGCAAACCTGGAACTGCATGTTCATAAACAAGCATCTCAGAGTAATACCGTGAACATTTTTGTCAAAAATATTTTGATGGTTATTAGTCTCAAGGTCTGTAAAAATACATCAAAATTTGTAGGCAATAAACTGCAATAAATTATCAGATTTTCAGCTTATCAGAAGTTGCTTATTATAGTCATGGAACTATCAGCTGCTATTCATCATGTATAATTCGAATGTCAATAACTGACAAGCTGCACAGTTACTGAAAAAGTGATTCACAACATATGTCATACCTTCAGCGATACGATATGTAGAATTGTAGATTAAACTTCTATGTTCAGCAATGGCTGTGCTATAATCCTATTAAGTATATATGAAAAAATATCTGTCATTCAAAGATCAATGAAAGCATGCAGAATGCAATGATGAATATATAACTATTGAGCAACAATATTCCACAATATGTGGCTTGTTTCCATTCTTAACAAAAGGCACTTAACTCCAGGTGTTTAAATTGATTTGCAAAATGTTGTACTCTTGCCTGTTACAAATATGATTTCAACATCCCCACAAATTTAGGCAGTAAACTTTTCTCATTCAGTCCAGACCCACAGCAAGAAGAGCCAATTTACCATTTCCCCCTTTAACCATGCTGGAAGAATACCTTGGACAAAGAAGCAAGGTTAATCAGTAACATCCATGTTGTTTTTCTACTTATTCTAGAGCTTTCTCTCTCCTTATCCTATGCTATGGGTATTTCCTATCTTAGCTCAATGCCCTCACTTGCACTGATGGCAACTTTATCCCTAGAGGTGCTTCACAGAAGTACAATCAGAACCATCAACGCAGATATTTGGAGGGGAAGAGTGATGGAAAACTTTGCACACAAGAATGTGCCGTTTAAAATTGAGATGTTCAGGCACTGGGAGCCAGTGTACACTAACGAACACAAAGGTGTCTGTTGAACTGGACATGGTGGAGTTGAAATGTGGCAGTAGAACTTTAGACAAGCTCAAGTTTATGGAAGATAGAAAATGAGAGACCAGCAAGGAGAGAACTAAGATGGTCTTGTTTTAATACATAAATGATCTGGAGGCAAATGGAGGTGATATGTTTGGTAAGTTTGCGGATGACACCAAAATTGGCGGAGTTGTAAATAGTGAGCAGAATTGTCAAAGAGTACAGAGAGATATAGACAGAACGCAGATTTGGGCAGAGAAATGGCAGATGGAGTTTAATCCGGACAAGTGTGAAGTGGTGCATTTTAGAAGATCAAATTCAGGTGCGAATTATACAATAAATGGCAGAACCCTGAGCAGCATTGACATACAGAGGGATCTGGGTGTACAGATCCGTGGATCCACAGATCTCTGAAAATGGCAACACAGGTGGATATGGTAGTCAAGAAGGCATACTGCACGCTTGCCTTCATTGGCCTGGGCATTGAATATAAAAGTTGGCAAGTTACATGACAGTTGTATAAAACTTTAGTAAGGCCACGTTTGGAATATTGCGTGCAGTTCTGGTCGCCACTACCAGAAGGATGTTGATGCTTTGGACAGGGTGTAGAGAAAGTTTACCAGGACGTTGCCTGGTCTGGAGGGTTTTAAGTATGAGGAGAAATTAGATAAGCTCAGATTCTTTTCACTGGAAAGACTGAGGCTAACGGGCAACCTGACAGAGGTCTGCAAAATTATGAGAGACATAGATAGGGTGGATAGTCAGAGGTTTTTTCCCAGGGTGGAAAGTACAACTCTAAGATGGCACATCTTGAAGGTGAGAAGGGGAAAGTTTACAGGAGAAGTGCAGAGAAAATCTTTTGAAAAGAGGGAAGCAGGCACATTAGCAACATTTATGTCATATCTTGATAGATACATGAAAGAGAGGCAAACAAAGGAATAGAAACTGTGTATGGACAATAGGCAGCAGGTCTAAATAAGGAATAGGAATCAGTGTAGGCTTGGTGGGCCAAAGGGCCTGTTCCTGTGCTGTATTGTTCTTTGCTATTTTCTTCTTTGTCCTGTCTGAAGATAACAAAAGCACAGATGACTCAGTGGCAGAAAAGATGTGCCAGGTCAGAGATAGATGATATACTAGAAGTAGAACCAGGCAGTTTACAGTTCAGAAACTGGTGGCCCATACAGTAGCTTCTAAAGGGGTTGCCCAAACAATTTGAATCCACCATAACCAACTGATGAAGCACCAAATGAGTCTTCAGAAAGGAGGCCAGTTGTTCACAGTCCAGGTCTAATGAAGGGTCATTGATCTGGAATGTTCATTCTCTTTCACTCCACATCTGTTGGCAGACCTGCTGAGTATTTCCAGATCTTTTCTGTTTTTATTTATGGTCACCATCCAGGTCAGTGGCATCTCGTATGTGACATTGAAACAAAGTCAAAAGTCACATGATACCAGGATAAAGTCCAAAAGGTTTATTTGAAATCACAAGCTTTCGCAGTGCAGCCACTTCGTCAGGTGAAGAGAGACAGTGGAGCTCACAGGAACAGAATTTATAGGCAGAAAGATCAAGGGAGGAGATCAAAAGGTCATACAATTGCTGTGAGTAGAACATCAAATTATAAGTCTACATGTGACCCTGCCACACTTCTGTATCTGTAAAGCCTTCCTTACTGTCCTGTTTTCACACGATCACCTTGATAAATTGTTATGATCTCTCTACCTTAATTAGTTTGTGCAGTTTTGGATTGCTTATTACTTTGGTTAGACCCTCGACATTTGACTTTTATACCTATCATGTTATTCCAATCATTTGGTTTTTCTGCAGCACAACCTTATTTTTAATTTTTTGTAATTATCTCTCTGGCTCTTTTAATTGAATTATAGGTCATACCTTTGATTGTTATTCAGCCGTTGACACTTTACTCTCACTTTCTAACACTCTTGGTCACTTGCAGAGACTTATAATTCGACACTCCACTCACAGCAGTTATATGATCTTTTGATCTCTCCGCCCTTGATCTTTCTGCCTATAAATTCTGTTTCTGTGAGCTCTTCTGAATCTCTTCACCTGACGAAGGGGCTGTGCTGCGAAAGCTTGTGATTTCAAATTTCAAATTTTGGACTATATCCTGGTATCATGTGACTTTTGACTTTGTCCACCCCAGTGCAACACCAGCACCTCCACATAATGGGTATTAAAACAAGTCTTGATCTGCAAATATTATATATGAAGTCACTTGGTTGGGGGGGCGGGAGGGATGGGGAGGGTGCGGTTGCTGGTGAGGACAGGCATTGTGTTTGTGATGTCTGCACTTGTCCTTTTGGGATCTGACTCCATTCTCCTCAAACATCAAGATTGCTATGACAAAGGCTTCTCTATTTGGATCAGTCCAGCATCTCTCCGGTGTGGTGGAAATCAGTTTACAGGCTCTGACACTGGCGCACTCAGCTGGCTTCTGCATGCAAGAATCTTCCAACATGAACCAGATGACCAACCCACAAAGCTGAACATGGTGTATCTCACTTTCTGACCTATTGTACCTACAACACTGTAACCACTGCCTCTAGGCCAGTTACAAAATATCTACCTAAAATAATCTGCTGGATAAAGTCTGGGTTCTGCATTATTACAATATTGAGTTGGCACTAGATGGCATTAATGCCAAATTCATAGCAAAACAGAATTAATTGTGTAAAATACTGATTAATCCTTGTTACACTAGTTCTGAAAATGCAGACTTCTAATTTACCTCTTAATTATTTTAAGTATGAATGAACTAATTATCCAAAGGCAATGAAGCTGCTTTGTTTTCTTAAAGCTAGAATTAAGATGACTCAAGATCTTGAAAGGTTAGATATCTAGAAAAAAGCTGAAGAATATCATGTTTACAGTGTTTGAATCATCCCAATTACTATCTACCATTCTTAAATAAAGCAGAGATATTTATAACATTTGTAATAGAATATATTAAAATAAATTGTGGCCAAGCACAGTGAAGTTACTTGTGCTCTTTTGATCTTCTTAATCATTTGAATTTTCTTCTTTACCCTTTTCAGAACATTAAATTCTCCTATTGCAAATCTCAAGCCCTCTTAATCAATGAATAAACTGTAACTTATTCCACCTCATAAATTACTTTACTGCTGGCATTTTATCAAATGAAGATGGTATTTTATTTCAAGACACATTACCAAATCAGGGGAAGTTAACAACCCAAATGTTATTTGAAATGTCTGAACTAAGCAGAAATGTTGAAACTTCAGCTTTTAAAGGCATTTTTTTTCCTGCAAGCAACACAAAGAGTTCTTTGTCAAGTTAGGGTTGTTTTATAGCTCATCTACTACAGCATAGCATACCTCAACTGCTAGGAGATTCCGTTTCTGGCGAATTGTATTAAAACTGTTCCTGTGGGGGTAAATAAAAGCATCTTGTATAATCATACCATAAAGTTGACACAATCAAATATGTAATACCTGACTTGGGCAGGTGTAATCATGTTAGAAATGAATGGTGTAATCAGATCTGTAATATCTGATTTTTTTTTCCCTTTAGATTTAAAATTAAAACAATATGAACGTTTCCTTTAAATTTTCCTTGAATCGAAGTACAAGTTACTTACTTTTTTGACTGGTTTTGCCCACGAGCTGAGCCTTCACAATAAAATCCTTTCAAAAAAGACAAAATATTTGTCTAAGTCTCCCAGCATATAAAACGAAACAAGTAACATAATATAAAGTAATATAAAGTATTATTGAACCTAACCAGCGCTTAATAAAACGATAAAATATTCACCAGCGCACAAAGGTAACACTTTTTGCACTAGAGTACAACCTAACTGGTAACTTCGTTTTGACTTGAAAGACAATTTTCCATTGTAATTGCACTATGAATATAGGGCCTCGCCGTCTGATTTATTTTTCGTTGTTTTTACTTATTAGCCATGGGGTTATATTGGTTGTCAGAATTATTTTTTTCCTCCTCAGTCTTGGCATTTCAAAATCAGCTGAGAAACAAAGCGGAGATTTTTCGAAATGTCCTTCGCTCGGTTTATGAACTATTAAATTAAGTTAATCTTTCCTTTTAGCAATTAACATTAACAAATCAAAGAAAGTGTACCGAATATCATCCCGTGTAAATGCACTTTTAAAAAGAGTTAAAGTAATTAAACTCAGTATCCTCACTTTTCCTTCAAATGTTTTCCAGTGGTGAAATAAATATATTTTACTGCATCGCACCATTCAACCAACCCCTCAGAAAATTACCAGATGTGGAAAATGTTGCATTACACGGAAAGCCTTCGGTTCTTACCTTGAAATAACTGAAGAAGTGAATAAAACACCAACACACTCCACGGTATCATTAATTTAAGTTTCCGAACAATGTTCATCTCAATGGAGCTGGCCTGTGAGCTAAACGGGTAAATTGCTCTTTTTAATAAAATCGGAACTACAATGACATTTTAGACCAATTGGTTTGCAAAATATTGTTTTTTTTTCTTTGTTTCCAAATGAAAGATAGGGCAATCGTGTTAATTACAATAAATGCTCAGCTCCGTGCGGTAAAGGATTCAGTGCACGTTAAATTCTTTCCGGATTTGTCCCAGGATGGAACAGAGTGGGTTTGTTACTGTGACGCTGCACCGCAACATAGGCAGCGTGGATACAGCTTGTAACTTATCCTAATGCTTCTGTTTTACTAAATTACGCAAGCTGTTTGAAAAAAATACAGATCGAAGATAAAGTGATGCGTTGTTCGTAACTTGATGTGTGAATGGTCAATTCGTAACACACTAATCGTTATATAAAAAAACAGAAAGTGTTGGGGAAACTCAGCAGGTCTGGCAGCATCTGTGAACAGCCAACAGAGTTGACCTTTCGAGTCCAGTGATCCAATTCTGTTTTCTCTCCATAAATGTTGCCAGACCTGCTGAGTTTCTTTAGCAATTGCTGTTTGTGTTTGATTTTTATCTCCAGCATCCACAGTTCTTTATTTTGTTTTAAGCAAATTAAAATCTTCAACACAAACTTGATGCAAACTCTATATTATTGTATAAGTTTCATATGAACGTTTGGAGATTTATCTGTCAAACCTCATGGGTTACATCTGCAAAAACTTATGCCACATGGTTTACAAAGTAGTATTTAAAAATAAACCTGTTATTTCCAAGTGGTTTCTCCCACCAGATGGGGAAAAAGTTTTTTTACTACTTCTAAAATGTGAGAATGAGCATACTAGTTCTACTGGTCCTCCATTTTAAGTATACCAGATCAGTCTGTCTAATTCACTAGCTTTACTGGTTTTTCCTTCAGGTCCGCCTTTTCTGGTAACCTTTAATGGAACACAGAAAGGGGTAGCAATTGATCTGTGCAGTCTCTAAACACTCCACATATCTTATTAGAGGAATAATGAATCATGTTATTGTAGTATGAGGCTGCCATATCCAAACACCTGAAATAGAGACTCAACAAATGATGCAGCACAGATGGAGATCATTCACCTCATCTTGCCTGTGATAGCTCTTTGAAAGAACTATTCAATTGGTCACAGTGTTCTTTCCCCAGCCCTTAAGCATTTTGTTTTTAAATACTTATTCCATTAACTTTTGAAAATCATTATCGACTCTGCTCCAGCATCTCACAAGCCAGTGTATAAAAATGATCATAATGGTTCACTATTAACAATATGTTTCCTTGAGATGTGTCTAATCTCATTTTCATCTTCATGTGTAACCTCAATCCTTATATCGCAAATCTTTATTATGTGTATTTTAGCTAAAAACTTTATTGTTTTTTGCTTAAGTAACTATCAGCAAATTTTTGAAATAAACTACCCTTTTATCCTGTTTAAAAAATAAATGTGCTGCTGATTATTTTTGAAACACTCAAAAATTAAAAGATGCCTATGTATGAACAAATACAAATTCTTATCTTATAACCAGTTTGCAGAAACATATGGGATGTGGTTATGACACACAACTACCTTAAAGTGGTGTCCTCTTGCTGCCGGCTCTCCTACTACTGAAAATAATTTCTTCTCATTTGCTGTATCAAAATCTTTCATAATTTGGAATATTGCCATTAAACTTCCCCTTAAATTTCACTGCTCAAAAGTGACCAATGGCAATTTCTCTAGTCTCACCAAGTAACTGAAGTGCCTCATCCTGGTGAAGCCTCATTCTGATAAATCTTCTCTGGACCCTCTCTAAAGCTTTTGACATCCTTCCTAAACTGTGGTGACCACAATTGATCATATTAACCAGATATGGCCTAATATTTGGTTTATAAATGTTGAGTATAATTCCCCTGTTTCTGTACATTATTCCTCTTTTATTGAGTTAGACATCTGGAATGTTTTTCTGATAACCTTCACATTGTGCCCTGCCACCTTCAAATGCATTTGTATGTACAGCTACAGGTCTCTCAGTTCTTGCATTCCCATTAATGTTATATCCCTTAGTTTAAATTGGGTCTTCTGATTCTTGCTACCAAAATCAATCACTTCACATTTCTCTGCATTAAATTTGACCTGCCATTTTCCTAATCTGCCTATGTTCAGTTAAAGTCTGTTACTATCGTCCTCACTGTCCACTCTGTGTTTTATGTCAACTGCCAATTTTGAAATGGTATTCAGTATATCTGAGGCCACGCCATTAAAAGATACCTAGAAAAAGCAGTGTGACCAACAATAATGCACACGTCCATCGTGTGGCTAAACAACTGCTCACCAGACTCTATTCCTTTAAGTTGAATAGTTTTGATATTGGTGATAAGTCTGTTACATAACACTTCATTCTTTTGACCTAGTTTTCCCTAATCAACCTGTTCAGAGGTGTTATTACACACCTTGAGGGCAGGTGGGACGTGAACACAGGTCTCTCAGTTCAGTGGTATGGACTCTACCACTGCACCACAAGAGTGCCTCTTCAACCTTTTGATAGCCCAAATGCTCCGGTGGTTGGAGTCATACCTGCTACATGGGAAGATGGTCGTGGTTATGGGAGGTCAGTCACCTCAGCTCCAGGACATCTCTGCAGGAGTTCCTCAGGGCAGTGTCCTAGGCCCAACCATCTTCAGCTGCTTCATCAATGACCTTCCCTCCATCATAAGGTCAGAAGTGGGGATGTTCGCCGATGATTGCACAATGTTCAGCACCATTCGTGACCCTCAGATACTGAAGCAGTCCATGTTCACATGCAACAAGATCTGGACAATATCTAGGCTTGGGCTGACAAGTGGCAAGTGAATTCGTGCCACACAAATGCCAGGCTATGACCATCGCCAATAAGAGACAATTTATCCATCATCCCTTGACATTCAATGGTGTTACTATCACTGAATTCCCTACTATCAACATTCTGGGGGTTACCATTGACCAGAAACTCAACTGGACTCACCACATTAACAGAGTGGCTACAAGAGCAGGCCAGACGTTAGGAATACTGCGGCGAGTAACTCATCTCCTGACTCCTCAAATCCTGTCCACTATCTACAAGGCACAAGTCAGGAGTATGATGGAATACTCCCCACTTTCCTGGATGAGTGCAGCCCCAACAACACTCAAGAAGCTTGACACCATCCAGGACAAAGCAGTCCACTTGATTGGCACTACACCCACAAGCATTCACTCCCTCCCCCACCGACGCTCAGTAGCAGCAGTGTGCACTATCTACAATATGCACTCAGAAATTCACCAAATATCCTCAGACAGCACCTTCCAAATCTATGACCACTTCCATCTAGAAGGACAAGAGCAGCAGATATATGGGAACATCACTACATCCAAGTTCCCCTCCAAGTCACTCACCATCCTGACTTGGAAATATATCGCCATTCCTTCACTGTCACTGGGTCAAAATCCTGGAATTCCCTCCCTAATAGCTTTGTGGGTCAACCCACAGCAGGAGGACTGCAGTGGTTCAAGAAGGCAGCTCACCACCACCTTCTCAAGGGCAACTAGGGATGGGCAAGAAATGCTGGCCAGCCAGCGATGCCCACATCCCATAAATGAATAAAAAAAATGCACATCCCTCATAAGTCCTTTCTTGTTAATTAATCAAATAACTCAATCAAGTTAGTCAAACTTGGTATACCTTAACAGGTGCTTTCATTCGTTATTTTTTCAAGTGCCAATTAATTCTGTTCCAGATTATTTTCTTCTAAAAGTTCAAACATTACCAACATATGACTGACTAATCTGTGAAAACCAATGAGACCTGTTAAAGTGCATTGTGGGGCCTCCTGTAATATTTAAAAATTATAAATCTTCTCTTCATTATTCCTCATACTTTGGTTGTAAAGTCTACCTGAATTCACCCATTAAGTATTGTTATACATGAAAAGTATTTTACTCTCCATAAGTGGCACTGAGACTTGAAGTTTCTGGTAGGGAGGCCTGCTTACCTTACAGAGATAAGACTTTTAGATCTGGATGCTTCCCCCTTTCTTCTTGTCTCTTTTTTTCTGTATTTCTACTTTTGTTTTTTTTTTAATCCTGGTTTTTGTGTCTTAGTTTTTTTACGGATTTTGTATCTAATATGCTTATTTTAATTCAGGTTTTTGTACCTAAAATAGCGCCAGAGAATGGTGACTTTGTACACTTTTCACTGTACTCCTGTACTTCATGCACACATGACAATAAAACCTAATTCTAATTCTAATTCTAATTCCTCAGTCAGTGTCTCTATCTCATATACAACAACTTTTGTGACAATATTATTTTAATATAAAAACAATGCTAGATATAATTTATTACTTAGTGCAGGTTATATCGAAGCCCTAGAAACTATAGAACTCCACAGGTATCTTTTTTACACATTCCACTTGGAGGCAGTCACACTTTTCTTTATGGTGGAGATGTTGTTATAGTGGTTATGTCACTAGACTAGTAATGCATGGGTTTAAGATAAAATCTCAGAAGGTGATGGAAGCAAGGTCCTGAAATATTTTTAAGGGGAATGTAACAGATTCTTGTTAAGCAGGAAAAGCACAGGATATCAGAGTTAGATGGGAATGTGGAATCTAAAACACAAACAAACCAGCCATGATCTTATTGATAGTGGAGCAGGCTTCTGGGGCCGAATGGTCCACATTTAGAGTTTAGTGTTAAACAGCACAGAAACAGAGCCTTTGGTCCAACTCATCCACACTGACCAGACATCCCAATCTGACCTTGTCTCATTTGCCAGCATTTGGCCCATCTCTCTAAACCCTACCTATTCGTATACCTATCCAGATGTCTTTTAAATGTTGTAATTGTAATTGCCTCCACACTTCCTCTGGCAGCTCATTCCATACATACACCACCCTCTACATGAAAAACCTATCCCTCAGCTCCTTTTTAAATCTCTCCCCTCTCACCTTAAACTTATGCCCTCTAGTTTTGGATTTCCCAACTCTAGGAAAAAGACCTTGGCTATTCACCTTATCCATGGCCCTCGTGATTTTATAAACCTCTAAAAGGTCACCCCTCAGCCTCTGACACGCCAGGGAAAAAAGCCCCAGCCTATTCAGCCTGTCCCTATAACTCAAACCCTCTCTTTCTGACAACACCCTTTTAAAGCTTTTCTGCATCCTCTCAAATTTAGCAACATTCTTCCTATAGAAGGGCGACCAGAATTGTACACAGTA